AAAAAAAGAGGGTTTTAAGGGCAGTGAAACTAATCTGTATGATATTTTAATGGTGGATACAGGTCATTACACATTTGTCAAAACCCACAGAACATACAGCACTAAGAATGAACCCTAATATAAAACTCTACTTTGTGTGATACCAATGTGTCAATGTAGGTTTGTCAGTTGTAACAAATGCACCACTCTGGTGGGGGATGTTGATAATGTAAGCGACTGTGCTTGTGTAGGGGAAGGGAAGATATGGGAAATGTCTGTATCTTCTTGGTTTTGCTGTGAACCTAAACTGCTCTAAGAAATAAATCGGCTTCAATTCAAGGTTGTGTAGATTTATGCGTCAAAGGCAAGAGGTACTTCAGAAGCTCAGAGAAAGAAGAAATCACTGTTGGCTTCACAGGGAAAAGGGTAGGATTTGAACTGTAACCAAAAGAATGAATAGAATTTCAGTCACTGGACAGTGATTAGGTGTGTGTAGCCTTGGGTAAGTAACCTCTCAGACCCTTAGTTTCTTCACAGGGCTGTGGAAGGAGATATAACACAGGTGAAGGGCGTAAGACTTAGAATCTGTCCTAAAATACGAAGTAGAGCTCTTCGACAGATATTGAATGGGCACCTGCTATGTGCCATCCACTATTGCTGAGCCCACATTCTAGCTCAAAAAATATTGGTCAGATATCATACAGGACAACATGCAACACAAAGAAAAGGCCAGCTGGTGGCAGTTAAATAAACCATGCTTGGGTGATAAAGTTGGTAAAGTTGATCAAGAGAAGTTGTTTGGTGTTTTGAACTCCAAAGAGAGCAGTTTGTAGGCAGTGGAGACCCTTGAGGTATTATCAAAAAGGATTTGGTAATGTTTTAGGAATAATTAGGATTTGAATCAATACAGGATGTAGGGATTTGAGTTGAGAGACTATTCCAATAATTTTTAAATCATTACAGCAGCTGTTAGTTGGTTTAATGGGCAGGTCATTTATTTGTCAAGCTAAAATGTACTTGATCTATATCATAAAAGTAAGCAGCAGAAGTTTTTTATTTCTTTTCCTAGTTTAATATTATGGCAGTCATATGTATCTTTGTTTCAGACTAATTTAACAAGAGTTAATGTTTACAAGTAAATCACCAGTGTCCTAACAGAGTCTTTTTTTGACACTGCCTTGGGGAGGTGGAACCTCTTTCCTACTGAAATAAATGAAGAAGTACAGAATGCTAAGAGTTTGTTTCATTGACTCAATAGCGTTCTCTGTCTGGTAACATCTTTATTGATAGATAATTTGCATACCAGAAAATCCACCCATGTAACTGTACCATGCAATGGTTTTTAGCATATTCACGGAGTTGTGTAACCATCACAACAAACAATTATAGAATATTTTTATTACCCCAAAAAGAAACCCTGTACCCCATAGCTGTCACCCCAAACCCCCTCATTCCCCCTTCTCTATGTAACCACTAATCTACCAGAGAAGAAATTTAAAACAATTCCTTTTAAAATGGCATCAAAATAAAATATTTAAGAATAAAATCAATCAGAGAAATGTTAAGACTTGTACACTGAAAACTAGAAAACATTGAAAGAAATTGAAGAAGCTCTAAGTAAATGGAAAGACATACCATGTTTATGAATTGGAAGACAAATGTTGTTAAGATGGCAGTCATCCACAGATGTATCACAGTACCTACCAATCAAAATCCCAGGAGGCTTTGTTTGCAGAACTTGACAGGTGGATATTAAAACTCATATAGAAATGCAAGGGATCCAGAATAACCAAAACAGTCTTGAAAAACCAGAACAAAGTTGAAGACTCACACTTCCCAATTTCAAAACTTACTATTAAGCTATAATAATCAGGACAGAGTGTTACCAGCAATAAAAGTAGACATATATATATATATGTATCAATGGGATAGAATTGAGAATCCAGAAATAAACCCTCACATTTACAGTCAATTGATTTTCTTCAGTGATGTCAAGACCATTAGATGGGGGAAAGAGCAGTGTTCAGCAGATGGTGCTGGGACAGATAATAATGAGTGGTGGCAAGGAAGTAGAGAAATTGAACCTTATATATTGCCAATGGGAATGTAAAATTGTGCTGCCACTTTGGAAAACAATTTGGTATTTCCTCAAAATGTTGAACATAAGAGTTAGCATGTGACCTTGCAATTCTACCCCTACATATATATTCAAGAGTTTGACAACAGTGTGTCTGCATAAAACCTTGTTACAGGAATGTTCATTACTAGCATCATTCACACTAGTCAAAATGTGGTGACAACGGAAATGTCCATTAGCTGAGGAATGGAGTATATCCATATAACTGAATGTTTTTTAGCACAAAGAGGAGTGAAGTACTTACACTTGCTGAAACATGAATGAACCTTGAAAACAACATACTAAATGAAAGAAACCAGTCATAAAAGTCACATACTGTATGATTCCATTTTTGTGAAATGTCCAGAGACAGAAAGTTAGATCAGTGGTTGCCAGGGCCTGGGGAAAGGGGGGTTGGAAGGATTGGTTGCTTATGGGTACTGAGCTTCTTTGGGGGAATCATGAAAATATGAAATAGAATGGTGGTGATGGTTGACAGTTCTGATGTACTAAAACCCACTGAATTGTAGTCACACTCTGAAGGTATGAGTTTTATGGTTTGTGAATTATATCTTAACATGTTATATTTTCAAATGTATACTTAATGAGATACTGCTACTTTACAATTTTTTTTCATTCTCTAGTTAGAAGCAGAACTAGCAGAGTTCCTGTTTAGTATTTTTAAGTCATATTTGTTTGCTTTTCTCAAAATATATGTTTCTCCAGAGTGTTCTGGCTTCCTTATGTTGTATGTCAATTTGTCACCATAATTACACCTTTCAAAACACACTGCATCCGGAGCGCAGTGTAGAGCTTGGGCTCCCGAGTCAGACAGACTCAGTTTTCCCTCTTACTGGCTTTGTGGTCTTGGGAGGGTAACTTAATCTCACCGAACCTTGGGTTCCTTATCTGTTGTGAGTACTAGATAAAATATAATCTGTAAAGTGCTATTCATAGTGCTTGGCCCAGAAAAAGCTTGATTAAATATTAGCAATTGTTAGGTTTAGAGTTAATAATTACTAAATCTACCTCTGGAGAGTTATCTCCATATTAGGGCCATTCCTTCCTACAAAATCAAACCTAGGAACTTTCTTGAAAAATAATCTTATGTTTATTCTTCCCCTGGTTTAAAAAGAAGATAAACAGAAAAAAATGCACCAATGAATAGTTTAGGAAGTCTCATTATCTGTTAATAGGGTGGGCTCAAGAGCTCTTCCAGTCCACTATTCTACAATAGTGGAATTAAATGAACTTCTTCCCTCTTTCCTTCCTCCCTAACTTTCTTCCCTCTGTTAAGTTTTCCTTCTTCCTCCTCCTCTCTGCATTCTTTCTTTTCTCTTGCTTTTCCCGTGGTCCTGTGAGATTTACCTTTAATGAAGAAGCAATGTATAAACAAATATTCTCATTACGGAAGAACAAAAATGTTAGGCTTAAAGGCCTCCCTGTCCACCAGTTTCAAGCCTGGTGTTCTGCCTGCGCCTTCCCTCTGCACCCCCACTCCCTCCCCAAGTAATTTATTTAATTTGTGCAAAGGTTCTTGGTCCGGGGTTGTTTTCCACGTAGTCATTCACGTATCAAGGCAGGCGGGTATTTGCCCTTCCATCATCTCACGTGGTGGCTTCAGGCTTTGCGAAGGCTTTTGGAGACCTCTTACCTGTATTCTGTACTTGGGCCAAGAAGTGACACACATCCCTTCCGCTACTACAGTCCCATGGTTCCCGCCAACTCCGGGGGAGCTGCAAGTGTAGCCTTCTGGGTATTGGGAGCATTAGGGAGCACTGTTACAACAGCCTGTAGTTTTCTTTTCTTTTGCTGTAGTTTCTGGTTTTGATGCCAGCCTCATAAACTCAGTTGGAAGGGCTTCCCTTATGTTTTAAAAAATTTTTATAAGGTGGGAACTGTCTTTATAAGGTGGGAATTACCAGTATCTTGAAATCTTGATAGAATTCTCCTGTAAAGCTGTCTGGGATTATTTTTGTGGGAAGATTTTCAACTACCATTTGAACTTTTGTGGTTATTGGTCAGAGTTTTACTACTTTTGGGGCCAATTTTGGCATGATATGTTCCTAGAAAAATGTTCAGTTTAGCCACTGGTTTAAAATTGCGTCTGTGGTATACTCTTAGGATTTGTAAACTGTATTCTCGCGGTTCGTCTCCGCCCTTTGTCTTTGTGTGAGTTAGGTGTGGCACCTTTTCGGTTTTGGGGGCTTACTTATAAAAGGTGTGTTCATTTTCAAAACCTAATATTTTAAAAGAACTGGCTTCTAATTTTACTGACAACATTCCTGTTTTATTTTTCATCAATATGTGCTATTTATTAAATCCTTCCTCTGCTCTCTTTAGACTTACGTATTTATCTTTCTTGAGTTGGAAGCTTCATATATTTTCCATCTTTCTGAGTTTTTAATGAAGTTAAGCCTGCATTTTAACATAGTTTTTTTCTTTTCATTTGCTTTTTAATCAAAAGTTCAAATTAATGTTTCTGATTTCACTTTGACTTTTCATTTTAATTCCAGAGTTATTTAAAAATAGGTTTAAAATTTTCCAGGTGTATGGATTTATTTAGGATATATATTTGGTGTGGGTTTTTATTACATTTAGTGAATGAATGTGGACTGTTTATTAGTTTGGGAAATGGATTGAAATTTCCTTTGTAGCTTAGTACCTAGTCAGCTTTTCTAAATTCCACGTGTGGTTCCTCTCTTTTAGGAGGAAATGATTTATTTTCTCTTTCGTGGTGTGACTTCCATAAACGTTTGGTGATTCACGGATTCCTTTTTGCAGCTGGGATTTCCCGTTCCTCAGTCAAGGTGCAAGGGGCAGGGAGGGAGAAGGCAGGGGGGCTGCAGGAGCAGCGCTGGGCCGCGCGGGGAAGGCGCTCTGTGTTTTAATGTTCCACGCCCACCCCGCCGCCCTGCGTCCGCGGCCCCCGTTGGGCAGTGGTCCGCTCGACTGAGAGCTGGACCGTCCTATCCCAGCGGCCTCTCCGGCCTCCGCCCCTCCAACTCCCACGCCTGGAGTCTGCGGTCCCCGCAGCCCGCGTGTGGCTGTGTCGTCCGTCTACACCTAGGTTGCCCTCTCCTGGCTTGCTGTCCATCTCTGGGTATTCCTTTAATCTGCAGGCGCAGAGCCGTGTGCGTTTTTGCCCTCCTTCCTGTGGGTTTTGTGAGGAAGGGGCAGCAGCGGGGCCGAGGCTCTCGGGCAGGAGACCTCATCCAGGTTGGCAGTGGGGTCGGTGTGGTGCTGCCTTTTTGTTTTTTCCCAGAGAAAGAAAGGAACAGGCACAGGAGTTCGGGTAGCAACGCAGGGAGAGCAACACAGTGAGTGCACCCGAGGTTCTTTGAAAAAAAAAACCATTTTGTGAATTAGTTTTTGAAAATTCCATCCTCAGGACAGCTTTGTGTTTTTATGCTCTTACTGACTTAAGTGGGGCCCCTTCTGCACTTGCCCCCGTGTCCGTGGACATGTTTGTGTGCCCGCCTGGAAGGACGCCGCTGCCGGCCCTGCGGGCTGCCGGGCCGGGGGTTCTGAGCGGCTGAGCCGCGATCCGATGCGGAGGCGGAGGCGGCAGCCTCGGCGGCGGTGTGCGGAGAAGCGAGCCCAGGTCCTTGCCGGCACTACGGTCCTTTTCAAAGTTGCTAATTTTGTGACTTTAAAAGTAAGATTTATTTTTCCTTATAAATGTTATTTCTGTAGCCATTCTTGGCAGAAAGTTTAAAGATTACAGCCAAGCAAAAACAAGAAAATAAATGCCATATTAGTTTATATCCCAGACATTTAAATACACACACACACACACACACACACACACAATTTTACTAAAAAAAGGAGTGCTGTGCACACTGCTTGTTCTACAACCTGCCTTTGTTTCAGTTTTTTTATTCACAATCTTTATTTTATTAAGATATCATTGATATACACTCTTATAAAGGTTTCACATGAAAAACATTGTGGTTACTATATTCACCCATGAAAGTCCCCCCCATAACCCACTGAAGTCACTGCCCATCAGTGTAGTAAGATGCCAGAGTCACTACTTGCCTTCTCTGTGTTACACTTTCTTCTTCGTGAATCCCCCCCATCATGTGTACTAAGCATAATACCCCTCAGTCCCCTTCTCCGCACCCCCTCCCCTTTGGTAATGCTACTCCCTTCTTAGAGTCTCACAGACTTTATTTTTTAGAGCAGTTAGATTTACAGAACTATTGTAGAGGCAGTACAGAGTTCCCATATTATCCCCACCCCCTCACACACATATCCTGTACAATTTCCCCAATTATTAAAATCTGATATTAGTATGGTACATTTGTTACAGTTAGTGAACCAATATTAATACATTATTAATGGAGTACTTTATTCATTCAAATTTCCTTAGTTTTCCCCTAAATGATTTTGTTCAGGATTACTTCAGGATATGATGTTGTATTTATTTATCAGTCTCTTGAGGCTGCTTTGGGCTGTGACAGTGTCTTAGCTGCTCTCAGTTCTGATGATCTTGACAGTGTTGAGAAGTGCTGGTCAGGTGTTTACAGAACATCCCTCAGCTAGGATTTGTCTGGTGTTTTTCTCACGGTTAGACTGGATGCTTTTGGGAGGAAGACTGCAGAGGTCTACCATCCACATGACTTACCGGTGTTGCTGTTGACCTTGGTCGCCCGGCTGAGGCATGTTAGTCCACTTTCTCTGTAAAGATCCTCTTTCCCCCTTTTCCATACTCTTCCCTTTGGAAGGAAGGCACTGTGTAAAGCCCGCACTGAATGAGTGGGGATCCTCACCCTTTCCTTAGGGTGGAATATCTATGTAATTTATTTGGAATCCCTTAGCACACTAGCTTTGTCCCTTTTCCTCCATGATAATTCAGTCATTTATTAATATCAGTATGGACTCATGAAATACTGAGTCTTATACTTGGGGGTATAACCCAGTCTTACTTTATTTATTTGGTTTCTCAAAATGGCTCAACTTTAGCCATTTCCAGCTCTTGTCACTTGGCTCCTGTGCCCCTGTGTCATACCCTCATCAGTATGGTGGGATTTTTTTTTTAAAAGCCTCTCCTTATCTTCTGTCACTAGAAGTTTCTCATTTTGTGTATTCCCTGGCCTGGTTCTAGAAGCATCCTTTCTCTATGGAACCTTTTTCCTTTTAATGGATGATGATACTAGAAATGTAACCTTTTTCAATTAAATATCCCATTTATATTGTCTTATGTCATTATATATTCTTGCACAGCTGTAAGTCCGGGGAGAAATCCCAGGGCAAAATACCTCTAAAAACCGAAATCAGTCAAAGGGAGAACTAAAGTTTAAAATCCATTTATTGCTTACAAACTGCAGTCCTGGGCCATTTCTCTCTTTCCTGCTCCAGCAGAAGCAAAATCGGCCCTCCCCCTCACCTCTCAGGTACAGAGAAGCCCTCCAGTTGCCCAGGTAATTACCCACTGATATGGAGATGAACTTCTCTCCACCCTTGAGACCTGTTGATATGCAGATGTACTAAAGCCAGGTGAGATATTCTGGAAATATTACAATTTTACCCACAACAGCACTATGACTTTTTTTTTACTCTTTAAGTTTATTGAAGTATAATTTACCTATAATAAAATGCACTCATTCTAGTGTATAGTTCAATGAGTTGTAACAAATATGTGACACTCATGTGTCCCAAATATTTTTCAAGTGTTTCATGTGTTCTTCCAAATATTTTATACCACCCAAATTGAGGTACAGAATATTTCCATCACTCCAGGAAGTTCCTGGTGATCTTTTGCAGCCAGTCTTCCCATCGAGCTCCCAGACCCAGCCAACCAGTGATTTGCTTTTTACTTTAATTTTGTTTGTTCTAAAGTTGCAGTCATATAGCATATACATGCAGTCATATAGTACATACTCTTAAATGTTTCTTAATTTATCTGAGATTTACCCATGTTTTTGCATCTGTCAATAGTTCACTCTTTTTTTATTATGGTATTGTAGTCATTGCATGAACGCATGACCATTTGTCTATTCACATGTAAAAGCCTGTCAGTTTATCATTTTCTGCTGTTATAAATAAGGCTGCTGTTAACTTATTGCACATATCTTTTTGTGGACATATGTTTTCATTTCTTTGGATAAAAACCTAGGAGTAGAATTACTAGGTCATAAGGTAGATGTCTACTAAACAGTTCTCCAAAGTGGCTGTTTCATTTACACTTCCCCCAGCCATGTTTGAGAGTTCTTATTCCTTCATATCCTTGTAAACACTTAGTATTATCACTCTTTTGAATTTTAGCCATTCCTAGTGGGTGTGTAGTGGAACCTTATTGTGGTTTTCATTTGCATTTTATTGATTAGTGATGAGCATGTCTTTTTGATGTCTTCTGTGCGGTATCCATGGTTTTTTGGCCCATTTTTGAATTGGAGTTGGTTTTCTTTTTCTTATTGAGTTGTAATAGTTCTATATACTAGGCATGTAAGTCTTTTGTTGGATGTATGTGTCATGAAGATTTCCTCACCACTGGGAGAATTTTCCCTTGCCTTTTTATTTTCTTAATCGTATCTAGTATTTCAGTCTGTGCTCCTTTTCAAGTCCATTTTTGTGTAAAGTGTGGATTAAGTATTGAGGTAAGGATTAAGGTTTATTTATTTTCCCCTTAGGGATATCCCATTTATTCCAACTGAATAGCCCATTTTCCAATAGGAAAAGACTAATTTTTTCCTCATTGAATTATCTTGGTAACTTTGGTGAAAATCGATTGATTTCATACCTGTAGGTTGATATTTGGACTTTATATTTTGTTCCATTGATTTCTGTGATTGATCTGTAAGTATTTAAGTGTGCAAGTCACTGAATTCTCACAAACTGAACACACATGTGTTATCAGCACCCAGGTCAAGAAACAGGGTCTGCCCAGTTTCTTGATCAAGCCAGGGATCTAGTTTCTTGATCAGTTCCAGGGATCTAGCCTTCTTCCCATGATCCCTTCAGTCATTACCTTGTCCTGCTCCTGGATCATCACACCTGACTTCAGCAGCACATACAAGTTCTGCCAGGTTTTGTTCTTATGTAAATGATACCGTCTAATGTACATTGTGTCTTTCATTGAATATCATGTTTGTGAGATTCATCAGTAATTTCTTCCTAACTGTGTTGTTATAGTTTGTTCTTATTGCTGTACCCTATTCCATTTTGTGGATACCACAGCTTCCTTATTCATTGTACTGTGACGGGCATCTCAGTGGTTCTCAGTCTTGGGCTATTGCTAACTGTACTGCTATAACCATTCTGCTGCGTGATGAGCACATGTATGTGTGCATTTCTGTTGGTTACATACCTAAGAGAATATCTGGGTCATGGCTGATTTTTTTTTAATCTAAATTAGCTGATGAATCTATTTGAAAGTTTTCATTGTTGTGACAAACTGTTTCATTTTTAACACTCAGTTGTCTGAATGAAGGATCACAATTCAGTGAACTATGTGGTCTCCATTCATGGATGGACCAAGTTCTTCTCTCACTAACTTTGCTGGGTCACCTTGAGCAAGTTCAATTTCCTGAGCTTCTATTTTTCTCAACTAAATTGAGCATAATGGTTTTATCTTGACTTACACCGTGATGTGAATAATGATTAGCTAAGTAATTATATAAGATTTTATGATTAAAATCATGCAAAATAGTACCTTTTAATACTTGAGTGCTCTAGAACTGATGGTTTTTCATAACCATGTGTGCAGCTATTTGCATTGTGTTACTTTGCTAAACACTGTCCTTACCCTGGGGTTTTCTGTTGACCTTCCTATGCATCAAATTATTAAAGCCTCATTTGTCAGCTCAGTAACTGAACGAGAGAAAATGCTGACAGGACTTTCTCTTGCTATTATTTATTAAATTTTTTGCCCTTGCCTGTTTGTTTTAGGTCTGGTCTTTCAGGTTATAGACTAGTTTGCCCAATTCTAGCTTTCTTCCCACTAACCCCTCAGTTTCCCCTCAGTAGCGATCACCTTGTTTAAAATGGCATCCCCAGAAGAACACAGGTTTGTTTTATACTAGTGTGCCTGCAGGGGGCAGGTGGGTGACGATGGTTGGCTTATGTGCCCCGCACCCCCACCCCTGACAATGCACTCACCACTGACCCTGGATTAGCTCCTGTTAATGGAGTTCGTTTGGTTTTTCTAGGGTGACAATCAGATATAATGTACTTAATGACAGGATTTTGGGGTTAAAATTCATTTCCTTCCTGACAAAATTGAGTTATATTTTATACAGTGTATTAACTTTTGGAACAGTCCAAGCTTGAGAAGTCAATTTTAAGCAGTTGTTAAAAAGAGGATGATTTTAGTTACCTTTCCTTAAAAGTCAAACCCTCAGACATGGGAAGTACCTCAGACAGGCACCATATTTAGTTGTTTTTCTTTGGAATCTCCAGAGTTTAGAACAGGGCTTGGCCCATGGTGGGTTCAGCAAATACTTGTTAAAGGAATAAATGGATTCACTGCTCAGAAGCAGCAGCTTCTACTAATTGGAACTTTGATTGGTTAAGTTCTGCGATCTTTTAAAGCCTGGGTTTTCTCTTCAGGCAAATGAATACCAGGAACTATATCTTGTGATTGTGGCGCTGAATAAACGCAATCCTGACTTAGTATAGTGCTAATCACCTTGTAAGCATTCAGTAAATTTTAGGGGCTGTTATTAGGTCCTGAAGGGAATCAGGCTATATTTTCAAAGTTTCACAAAACAACGACGAAGTTTCCAAACCCTGTAATTCCACTGATAGGTTTTGTCAAATGTTTCTGGCCTATGTATTGGTCGGATGGTTGCCTGGGAGACCTTCCGCCTGTAGGGTAGTTTTGGAAGCCCAAGTTGCTCACTGCTCCTTAGTTCCTCATGTGAAATCACCATGTGCCTTTCAGGAGACCAGGCACCAGACTAACAGCGCTGAAGTGCTGGAGTTAATAAACTGTCATTTTGTATGGTGCTCGAATAGGGACATCTGAAGGGAAAATAAACATATTTAGGGAGACAATGTTGATAAAGGATTTTCCTCCAAGTAGATTTTAAAAAGTGAGTTTTACAGTTAAAAGTTAGGTGAGGTCTACAGCTGATGATATACATTAAGTGCATATTATGTGTTGGCAGCTATCTTAGGCGATAAATTATATTTTCTAGTGAAAACATTTCTGAAGTTGAAATAATAAAGTATGAAGTTGGTGTTGCTGAAGCCTATGTGGGAGTGAGCGAAACCACAGCAGCCTTTTGGGGACCCAGTGCTTTCATCAGGGACCTTGTGGAGAAGCTTGTCTTCCTAATGGCATGTGCCTCAGTTAGCAAAACACTTCCATGGAATTTCAGATACTGAGTGAACATTATGTCACTTGATCTTGCTCTATCCCCAGTATCAGGGAACTGGCATGTGATGAGGAATTTAGGGGATGTAAGAGACATGGTTTGTCCAAGGCAGGGGGCACTTCAGAGTTGGAGATGAGTCGGCCATGCAGTGGGTGACCCTGAACAAATGTTTTCTGAAAGAGCAAATCCCTCTTGTTCACTGTTGCGTCCCCAGAACCTCACTCCTGACTGGAGGATAGCCTGTTTGTTTAAAAATGAGTGTAGATCTACATGAAATGGGAATTTATGTCTATCTGGAGACCACAAAATTATTCTAGAAGGAGAAATCATAGACCATTAACTTGGCTAGTTTCAGTAGGACCCTAAATGACCTTTGCACAAAATGGAAGGAAAAATATTCTTTGTGCCAACATTCTCTAGACCTTCTTCACTTTATAATGTGACCAAAATTCCACTAGAATGAGCCTTCAATGAAAACATTGCTAGTCTTGTAAATAGGAACAAAGATTAATCCTTTTGAAATGTTACCAAAATTCTTACAGTGCCTCAGAAAAATGAGGGGCCAGAGCTGGTGGCTAATACCTGAAGCTGGAAAGGTGCAGTTGGTTGGGCTCGGGGCCTGACAGGGTTGGAGTTTTGTAGTGGAAGTCAGTGTCCAATTTTTAAAGAGGAAGAGACATGAGGGGATTTACATGTTGCAAAGATTACTTCATGATGGCTCATGCTGAGAGCTTGAATGAGGCTGGAGGTGGTGAGGGCTCAGCATATTTGGGGGAGATCAAGAAGTGACCAGGTTTCTTGCTTGTGCAGCTGGTGGGTGTTGCTGAAGGTCTCCAAGGTAGTGGATCCTGGGAGAGGGCCAGGTCCTTAGGCAGAGTGCAAGAGTTCACCTTTAGCTTTGGACACTTGGAGTTTGATATGAGGGCCTCTGAGACATCCAGAACTGTGAGCGAGAACAGGGAAGTTGAAGGAAATAGTGCCACAGGCCCATTTGAACAGAGCTGAAAAGATGGCTGACGTTAAATTAATGTAAGAATATGAATAGCTTTCCTATATCCAAATGACAATTAGAAAATGCAATGAAAGGAGTACTCCCATTTTCAATAGTAACAAAAACAGTAAGAGTAAACCCAGTTAGCAATGTGGAACACTTTTGTGAAACACTTTGAAACCTTACTTAAGGACATTAAAGAAGAATTGAATAAATGGATAAATATATGACATACATTTAAGAATGGGAATATTCAGTACTGTAATGAGGTAAATTCTCCTCAAATTTATTTACAAGGTACTTTTTTTAAACTTGCTCCAAAGTTCATTGGGAAAAATAAACATGTGAGGCTAGCCAGGAAAATGTTAAACAAAAGTGATGATGAGGTTTCAGGGGAATGCATTTTCTACGTAACACATTTCCAAGTTTTCATTTGTATAAGCATGTATTACTTTTGGAATTAGAGAAACAAGAAATAAAACACCAGTAGGAGCTTTAATAAATTGTGATCGTGATCTATCCACAAAAAAGACTAAAAGAGTGCACGTGTATGTGCACGTGTATATATATATTGCAAAGAAGGATATAAAGACTACACTGAAGAGGAAATATTACTACCAACTGTACAGAAATAAAAAGGAATCTGTATCTGGGAATACTGTAAACAACCAAATGCCTACAATTGGTATCATGGGTGAAATCAACACATTTCTAGAAAGACAAACCACCAAAGCTGATCCAAGAAATGGAAAATGTGAGTAGACCTGTACAAAGTAAAGAGATAGGATTGGTAACTACACATTTCCTTCAAAGAAAAAGCCAATCCTAGATGGCTTGCTGATGAGTTCTAAACTTAAAGAGGGATGAATACCAATACTTTACAAACTCTTCTTAAAAAAAAAAACAACTCAGTCCTACAGCATAGGAGAATATATTCATAAATGACTTACCCAATAAGGGGTATTAACATCCAAAATACATAAAGAACTCACACACCTCAACACCCAAAAGACAAATAGCCTGATTAAAAAATGGGTGGAGAATCTAAACAGACACTTCACCAAAGAAGAAATTTGGATGGCCAACAAGGCACATGAAAAAATGCTCCACATCGCTAATCATCAGAGAAATGCAAATTAAAACCACAACGAGATATCACCTCTCACCAACTTCCAACATCCAAAAGACAAGAAACAACAAATGCTGGCAAGGATGCGGAGAAAGGGGAATCCTCCTACACTGCTGGTAGGAATGTGAATTAGTTCAGCCATTGTGGAAAGCAGTTAAGGAGGTTCCTCAAAAACTAAAAATAGATATACTATTTGACTCAGTATTTCCACTGCTAGTAGTTTACCGGAAGAAAACAAGATTCCTGATTCAGAAAGACATATGCATCCCTATGTTTATTGCAGCAGTATTTGCAATAGCCAAGATATGGAAGCAACCTAATTGTCCATCAATAGATGAATGGATAAAGAAGATGTGATATGTATACACAATGGAGTATTATTCAATCATAAAAAGAAAAGAAATCCTACCATTTGCAACAACATGGTTGGAGCTAGAGAGGGTATTATGCTCAGTGAAATAAACCAGGTGGAGAAAGACAAATACCAAATAATGTCACTCATTTGTGGGGTATAAAAACAAACCAAACTGAAGGAATAAAATAGAAGCAGACTCACAGACTCCGAGAAGGGACCAGTGGTTACCAAAGGGACGGGATTGGGGAGGTGGGGAGATGGGGATTAAGTACTGTAATTTCCAATCACAAAATAGTTAGGTCACAGGGAAGGCAGTACAGCACGGAGAAGACAAGTAATGGCTCTTACAGCATCTTACTGATAAACAGTGACTGCAATGAGGGGATGGGGTGAGGACTTGATAATATGGATGAATGTTGAAACCACAGTGTTGTTCATGTGAAACCTTCGTAATTTTTTGTATATCAATGGTACTTTAATAATAAAAAAAAACTCAGTTTATGAGGTCACTATCACTCTGAAGCAAAAAAAGGCAACACAGAAAAGGGAAACTACAAGCCAATACCCCCTTAAGAATATAGGTAGGAAAATTCCTTGACAAAATATCATCAAACTGAATACAGCAGCACATTAAAAGGTTTATGCACCATAACCAAGTGGAATTTTTCTTAGAATGCAAGGTTGGTTTAACATCTGAAAACCAATTAATATTCTGTATCATGTAGATAAAGGACAAATACCAAATTATCATCTCAGTAGATGCAGAAAAAGCATTTGACAAAAGCTAACACCCTTTCTATGATAAGATACTGGACGAACTACGGACAGAAGGAAACTTCCCGACCTAATGCAGGGCGTCTCCAGAAAGCCCACAGCTGACACCCTAGTCAGTGTGAAAGACTGAATGCTTTCCTCCTAAGATCAGGGATGAGACAAGGACACCTGCCTCCTCTATTCAATATTGTATTGGAGGTCTGGGCAGTTAGGCAAGTTAGGCAAGAAAAAGAAGGAAAAGGCTCCCAGACTGAAAGGAAAAATAGAGCTCTCTGCAGATAATGCAAAAGAATACAAAAAAGTATTAGAGCTAATAAATGTGTTCAGCAAAGTTGCAAGGCACAAGTTGAATATAAAAATTACTTCTATTAGACATGAACAGTCTGAAAATGAAATTAAAACAATTCCATTAGCAGTACCAGCAAAAATAATAAAATAGTTCATGAAAAACACTATATTCTTTAAAATTGGCAACATTTGTGACACAATATAAAAAGACACTGGTGTTTATTCTCTTTATAATAGCTTTACTCACATAATGGGTCAGTTACAAAGTTTCTTAGCAGTGATGCCACCTCAACGATTAAATAATAACAGCAGCTTTTGCTGCACTCTTTCCATGTGCCACTGTTGTGCTTAGTGGGCAGTCCGTCATTGGTTTTCCACAATGCCTGATGGTGTCCCCATATTTTCTGCCTCTCCCCTTGCTTTCTGTTCTCCAACATAACACACTTTACACTTACAAAACTGCATTATTTATCAGAATATCCAGAATGCACATTTCCTGTTGTTACCATTAGCAATAACTATAAAAGTGAACACTGGAGGCTTCATTTGACTTGGTATTTATGTGATCCTGAGCAGTTACAAGAACATATCGATAAATCTGTATGTGTTTAAGATTTTAAGCTTAAAACGTTTTGTATTTGTTATAGTTATTTTATAATTGGGGGAGAAAACACTTTTAGTTACTTGTCAGTCTTTTGTTTAATGTAGCACTAAATCAGACAATCATTGGCAACAGTAATTTTTAGAAGAACTTTCTTTTTTCATTGCAAATATGAACTAGCATCTCGGTCCGTCTGGGCTGCTGTAGCAAAAAGCTGTAGACTACACGGCCTAAACACACTATTTCTCCCAGTTCTGGAGGCTGGAAAAGCCTAAGAGCTCGCCTGGTGCGGGCAGATTTGGTTCTCGTCCCGGCTCGCATACAGCTGCCTTCTTCCTGTGCCGTCACGTGGAATGCAGAGCTAGAGCAAGCTCTGGGGTCTCTTACAAGGGCACCAATGCCATCATGGGAGCCCACCCGTGTGACCTCATCTAGGCCTATGTACCCTGCAAAGGCCCACCTCCAGCGCCATTCCACTGGGGCTAGGGCCTCAACATGGTGGCGGGGGTGGGGATGGTGAGTGCAAGATACACTTCAGTCCATTACAACTTGCTGTGATGAATATCTTCTTGTCCATAAATGCTAACCCTAGCGTTTTGTTTGTTTGTTTTTAGTATTATGTGCCAAGAACCTTGCAAAGAAAGACTTCTTCAGTAAGTAAACACCCTTTTTTGCTCTCTTAAAGTTTTGTCTTCACATTATTTCTGAAATTTTAAACTTTAAAAAAAAAACACTGGGTGGATCCTCCTAAAAACCCTGCGCTTTACTGAATAGAAATTCAGGGTCTGACAAGCTTCATTTCCCAGTTGACTACAGTGCAGAGACTCCTTAGCTCCAAGGCACAGAATAATTCATATAAGAAAAATGGTCTCCTCTCATTCCCTGTGCCAGCCACACTGTTTTCTCTCTCTTTCTGCCCATTAATATATTGCTTTCTGCTATATGAAGCATTCTCAGCTCAAACACAGATGAAACATTTTCCCAGTAACTAACTGGGTTTGTGTAAAATTGTTAGTCAAATTTTATAAATTAAATCACATTTTAAAAGCCTAGTCATTAAAGGAATTGTAAAAAGGAATCACCCCTGAACTTAAGAAATTCACCTACTGTTAAGTAGGTGCCTGCAGCATGAAATTTTCACACTTTTTCTGATCCTGACATGAGCGTTGCCCAGTTCTTAAGTGGTATTATTCACACTTTAAAGATGAAGAAACTTAGATTCACAGACTTCCTTCAAGTAGCTGGGACGCTCAAGAGCAGTGGCTCACATCCAGGTCTGGTCTAAAACCCTTACCTTGCCACTTCGCTGATCTTCTAACCATGTCTGATTCATACTCCTGCATTTAGGAATTTACCGAATTAAGACTTGGTGAATACTTCCTTCAATGGATAAAGTAGACAAAAATCAGTAAACAAGATTATTATTTTTTAGAGAGTGTAAAAATAATTAATTACAGATACCTTTTCCTCCATGAGCCCCTATGAGTGATCATCAGAAATGGACATGAGAATGTAAGCCCCTGTTCATCATTTTCATTTCTAGCCTCTAAAAATCTGAGGGTGATGTCCTACTGGGCTACTTTTCTTAGAAAGCTAAATAGAAAGAACTGATTTTGCTAATCCAAAGTAACTTTAAATTAGAGATAAAATGTACCAGGGTAATCAAGCTAGTCTTCAGCCTGCAAGCCTATGTTCTGTGTTGAATTGATAGGTCTGTAGTCTCATCAAGATGTGGCTGTCCCCTCTCCTCTAGGACTCCCCGACCCTTTTGCAAAGATTGTTGTGGATGGATCTGGGCAGTGCCACTCAACAGACACTGTGAAAAACACACTGGACCCAAAGTGGAACCAGCACTACGATCTGTGAGTTGAATATTCTATAAGCCATTTGGGGAGTGGCAGGAAAGTACGTATCCAGCTTTGAAGACAAGCATTTAATAATTTATAAAAAGGGATTGCTAACTTATTAATGATAGCAGAAGTTGATGTCCAAACAGACATATATTGACCAATTTTAGAATTCGTATGTGTGGAAGTTCTTACATTTGACATTTTCATAGATTTTTGTGGTTTGCTTCTGTAACTGTGATCCTCAAACTTTTCCATTTTTCTTGGCCATTCTAACAGGAAAAAAAGAGCCACAGTCATCTCCTTGATAAGCTTTTTTTTTTTTTCCAGTGAAACCCTAAATCTGGTTTTATATAAAAGTTTTTACTTGAAAGTAAAAAAAAAAAGCTTTTATTTTAAACATGCAGTACTATTATACACACATATTATGCAAATATGTATTTATATATTTCTGTTGATTAAAATAAAATTCAGCTTCTTAATACAAAAATTTTCTGCAAGAGATAATACAGTTTGGTATATTGAACATATAAAAAGCCTGTGTGTCATCAGACAGCTTCTTATATTGAAGAGTGGATTGTACTTTGAAAGCCACTAGTTTATATGCACCTATGTTTTCATATCCCTGCTAATTAATTATCATCAAGGTAATACTGAGTGATCATTGATTTATTAAGACAAATTGTCCTGGGTTTGGTGGGATTTTCAGCAGTGGGGCCCAAGACTCATTTCTGCTTACACTGAGGTCACCATATGTGGCCTTGGAAAGTGGCTGTCAGTCCTTGTCTTGAAAGCTCTCCTCTGTGGTTACCTTACAGTGAGTTTAAGTTGGGGGGGTGTGAATGTCTGAGTTAGTACTCATTAGTGTACTTGGATTGGATCTGCAGATTTGTGACTAGTCCCTTATTACAAATTAGTATTCTGGATTAACTCTGTAATTAGTGGGAATTTGTGAATCATGTCACTGTCCTTTGGAACTATTAAAATATAGTAAATCTCTGTTAAAAGATTCTCATCATCATGTGGTGATCTACATCAGCTTCTTCCATAACCGGTTGAAGTCCTTTCCCAGCCTATTGAAGTTCATTGATGAATATTTATTGAGTGCCTCTCACATGTGTAGTACAGAGCCAACAATAGTTAAAAAGGATTCTTCTGTACAGTTCAATCAGATAAAATCTTAATGCACTCTCAAGATTCAGAAATGCAATTAAAAGTGAGTTTGCATGTTGTTTTCAGATATGTTGGGAAAACTGATTCTATAACCATCAGTGTGTGGAACCACAAGAAAATTCATAAGAAGCAGGGAGCTGGCTTCTTGGGCTGTGTGCGGCTGCTCTCCAATGCCATCAGCAGATTAAAAGATACTGGATGTAAGGACCAAATGCTTTTCTGCCTCTTAATGCAACAGAAGGCGGCTTATGAGGCTTTTTTTTATTTAAATACTGAATACAGAAATCCTGCCTCCCTCCCTAGTTAATATTTCCCTGGGTTAAGTTTTGAATTGTTTGTTTGCAGACCAGCGTTTGGATCTATGCAAACTAAATCCCTCAGATACTGATGCAGTTCGTGGCCAAATAGTGGGTAAGAACTTTCTCATCTGTATAAGAGATGCTTTTACAGAACTTAACACTCAACTCTTCATCCCTGAGAAAACACAAGTGGGCACTGACGATGGGGATGTACTTCGAAGGGCAAACCACATATGGGGCCATATCTTCAGTATTAAGAAGTTTCATCTGTGTGGTTTTTACTATTTTATCTAAGTCTTGTCATCCTGTCATTCAGAGTTGAGTTAAATGACTAAGGTACAAAGAGATTCAGGGTTATAATTCTAAATATAATGTTAATGATCACTTTAATGGACAATTAGCTTGTCATTGTATTTCTAAGTGTAGATGATAAGAATGGTGGCCACGTATGCAAGAGTTAAGAAATAGTTTCTTCACGAAGGCCCATCATAATATGTATAAGGCAAAGATGATTTCTGAAAATTTCACGTAATATGATTTTAAAGTCAGTGGATTGAATTTTTTAGAATTAAAAATAAAATGTGCTATTGCTACAAAGTGTTCACTGGAGGTATTCTGTCACAAGTGATTTATCTGAGGAGCTCATCCTATCATCCACCCCATTTTTATTAGCATCTCAGGGTAACTCAGATGTTGATTGTGTGCATTGCAGAAAATCAAAGATAACATAATATTTGAGCAGCATACCAGAGTGACTTATAACTCCAAATCTTTTAGGTATTGTCTTAATGTAGACTTGACCCAAGATATAGAACAGTGGGTATACATCCTGAATCATGATCATGAAAAAGTTCCCACTTAATGCTTTTTCTGTTCTGATTTCTTCTTTTCTCTTTGGAGGGAGGTGGCAGGGGGAAATAAATAACTGGAAGCAACTTTATTAATGTCTGTTGTTTATATTAGGGATATAGAATAAATATTTAGATTGATCTAGACTTTGCAGGTACTCAAAGTGCTCTCTGTGTCCTTTCTAAACGTAAGTCAAAGTCTTCTTAAAAATAAGGTAACTAAGAGGAAGTGAATATTGTGGTGGTATTTTTATGGAGGGCATGAAAAACAGAGCACTCTTTCTGCTCCACATTTCCTGGAGTGTCCCAAGCAGTGCACAGTGGAATGCATCTGATGGAGAAAATGCTTATACTTGAAAGCACAGGAATATATGTGTGTGTGCATATACACATGACTTGCTTTTAAAATATTGTGTATGAATTATACATTCACAATGGCTTGCTGTATTACAGTTGTATGCAATGCCACTGGATTTTAATGCAGGCCGTTCTTCTCTGTTTTAGTCAGTTTACAGACACGAGACAGGATAGGCCCCGGAGGGCCCGTGGTAGACTGCAGGGGACTGCTGGAGCACGAAGGGTGCGTATTGCGCGGCTGCTGAGCTCTGCCGCCAGAGGCTCTGCTCAGAGGAGGGGCCCCGTCACATGTGTCCCTGTGCTGAGTGCTGGGGATGCACGAGTGTGCTTGGGGCTCAGACTGGCATCTGGTGTCCTATTTATAAAGGAAGCTGCAAAGACCAGTGAGGTCATGCCCCAAAGACTCAGGGTCCAATTTATGGAGGTCCCCACTGGCCAGTGTGAGCTTTCAATAAGAACTATCATTGCAGTGGACTGAAACACATTAAATATATTAAAAATCCTTGAGTTCATAATGACACACAGAGAAAAAAAAGCCCTAAGAAACTCAAAAAACCCCCCGAAAACTCTCAAAATCTTTCCTTGGTCACTTTCACGATTTTGCAATCCCCAGGGAATGAGTGGAGCTGGGCAGTGATCACTACTAGTTCATGGCATCCTCATGTAATCCGACATTAACATACTCTGGCAAGTCCAGGGCCCAGAGGAAGGTGTTGCGGAGTCCTGGGAATGCAGTCGGCACCCCCCAGAAGAGGGCCAGAGGGGAGAATAGAGCCCAGTGTCTCCAACAAATACATTGCAAGAAAATAAAAGGAAGGAAAAGAACCTATACAATAATAATAAAGAGACTTAAGAGACATACCTCCCAAATGCAGTGTGTACCTTGTTTGCATCCCAATTATAAAACAACTGAGTGGAGAAATTGGAACACTGACTAGGACTTGATATTTTTTTTAAAAATCAGTGTCCTTTTTTTTTAGTTATGATAATGGAAAAAGTCCATATCTTCTAGAGGCATCTGCTGAAATATTTAAGGGTAAAATGGTAAAATGTTGGGATTGGTTTCATAATAATCCAGTGGAGGGGAGGAGCCGGCAGAGCAACCACGAGATGATCATGTTAGGGCTGGTGGGGAGTCCAGCGGATTCACTGAAATAGTCTCCGCTTTGTGTGTATATTTGAAAATTTTCAATGTAAGATGTTTCTAGAAAGTACTTGTTTATAAGGACAAATGGCCTATTAAGGTCAGTTGTCTTCAGAATTGTTCAGAGGGTGATGATTCACATTAAAGAGTACTTAGAGTCATTGCAGTATCTTACGGTATCAGGAGTTCTAGTACGGAGTATAACAAGGAAAAAAGGAGAGTTTGGATTGGACTCTGAAGCAAAAAAAATGTAATCTCATTCCACGAGCTCCTTAGTGCAGGGCTGGTTTTTCCAGTTGTCCCGCTCTCTCTGCCCAAGGGCGAAATCCGGGGTGGCCTCCATGGCACTTCACACATGGCTCCCTTTGGCTGCTGGTTCCTCATGAAAAAGTCTGGCTTTCTGTTTCAATAGGACAGGACAAACTTTATGAGACCAGCACTTGGAACACTGTATCGCCCAACGAAAGCAAAGTAAATGGGTGTGCGAACATCACGTTGAGTTGCAAGGTGCGTGTCTTGGGCTGGCGTCCCCATGCGTGCTGTGCTCTGTTCCCTTGCAGACCTGTGTATGAAGACTCAGGGCCGGGAAGGCCGCTCAGTTGCTTCATGGAGGAGCCGGCTCCGTACACAGACAGCACTGGTGCTGCTGCTGGTGGAGGGAACTGCAGGTTTGTGGAATCTCCGAGTCAAGATCAAAGGCTTCAGGCACAGCGACTTCGAAATCCGGAGGTCCGAGGGTCACTACAGACGCCCCAGAACCGACCACACGGCCACCAGTCACCAGAACTGCCCGAAGGCTATGGTGAGAGAACTCGATCTCCCAACCCGAGTGTCGTCTGCAGTTCCTGAGTGCCTACCTTTCTAAGCCAGTTTTGGTAACTAGCCCCTGCCTTAGCCGCTGGGGCTTGCAGAGCTGTGCCATCCAATGGTCGTGTCCGTGTAGACAAGTACCAGAGAAAGATGGTGCTGAACCTTGCTCACAGTGAGCTTATCAGCAGTTGCTCCAATCACCCAGTTTAGAATTGTGTGAAAATTTTAGGCAAATGAATATGAAAGAAAACCAAATGGTGTATGGGCCAGTCGAGGGTGTTAGTAGTACTGTGTGCTTTGCGGGCAGAAAGGACAGTGCGGTGTAGGGGACGAGGGGATCGTTTGACAGCCACCAAGAGGAGACCCAACCAAAGAGGACTAGGATTTAGACGTGGCAGATCAGACAGAGTAAATGTCAGAGTAAAGGGTCAGTCCTGAGGTTGCTGGGGACACACAGTGCCTCCCCCAGGTGGGCTGAGTCAGGGGAGCCTTTGCTTCAGAGGGTGGAGGAAGTGAGACCCGCACCCCCCACAGGGCTTATGGAGGGAGGAGAACAGGCAGAGGGAAACCACTGGCCCTCCAAACCCTTTCCTCAGTGATCAAGGAAGCCGAGCGTCTGCTTAGAGGATTGCTTGAGAACATTCCCTGGAATTGAAGTTAACTAATTGCATCTCCTAATTTTTTGTGCAGAACAAAGAACAACAGTGCAGGGGCAAGTTTACTTTTTGCACACGCAGACTGGAGTTAGCACATGGCACGATCCCAGGATACCCAGGTAGGTTTTCTAAAATGAAATGTGCACTTTCCAAGCCATTTTCCCAGCTATTGCCTGGACCCCACCCCCACCTGTGGATGATAGGGCTTCTTAGGTTTGAAGGTATAAACTTGGATGTCTGCCTCTGGGCCTGGGCTCCAGCTCTCTGGGTGAAAGTCCAGCTCAGCTGCCCTTGCAGACTCTACCTGGTAACGCAGTAGCGTGTAGCTCAAGTGGGTCCTCAGGAAGCTGTCCTGTACCTTGAAATCACATCCCATAACCAAAAAAGACCCTCACCCCTAGAGTAAATCCAGTGTGCTCTATTTGAAAAGCCAATAAACCCTTCAGGATGTGTTGCTTTCATTTTAAACTAAAGATATTAATGGATGAAGTGAAAAGGTATCTGGGATTTGCTTCAAATAATTGAGCTAGGGGAGTGAATTGAAGAGGGTATATTTGACACCAGTTGACTGTGAGTTGGTAATTTTTAAAGTGGGTCTTTAATTAATTAATTAATTAATGGTGTCTCTGCTTTTTTATGTGCTTACAATTTTCCATAATAAAAAGTTAAAAAGGAAGTATAAAGATTCTGTTGCCCTTTCTCTTTTCTACTTTACTGTCCCTATTGCCTCAGTCTCTTGGGGGCCATTCCTGGGGGAGATGAAGCTTTTCTATATGAATTCCTTCTGCAAGGCCATTCATCTGAGCCCAGGTCAGAGAGACCCCACCCCCAGCCTCTAACAGAGTTAAGTTTCTTTTTTCTTTGCTTTCTTTTCTTTTTTAACTTTTTTGTTTTAGAATAGCATTACTACCTGATAACATTTTTAGTAATGTTCATTTTCTTATTATTTATAATTTGTTTCATCTGAGAACAAGATTCCTGTCTTGATTTTCTGAGGCTGTTGAATTTATGATTTAGTAGCTATAATTGGAAGGAAATATTACCTGCAAATGAATGAGGTGTCTCTTTAGCACCCACCCTATGGAATGTCAGGGTCCCTGTGAATTAGAAAAGCATCTCAGTCAGGAGTGCTGTGCCCCTGTGTGATCTTGAGTGGTATTAAACTAAGTAATCAGGGGTCAGGATTAAAAATGCTTGGCTAACAAAGCCAACTAAAATGAAAACGCCCCCTCCCAGGGGTGTTTTGGGGTGCTAGGATTTCCAGTGTGTGTTAATGTATCCCCTTCAGCTTTAACCAGCTTGTGCTGTCTGGGAGCTTTTCTGTGAAGAAACCTTTCTGACCTTGAGCATGTAATTTCACTTGTGAATTCATAGTTTTCCAGCAGCTTTCAGATGCCCACAGTTTTGGCCCTCTTCCCTCTGAGAAGTGGGGCTCCCAGGCTGGCCATTCCCTGTCATGGTCATGGGCCCTGACAGTTTGGTTTTGATCTGCTGGATGGTGCTGCCACTTGCAGCCCAGGGCCTGGACTCAGTGGGAGGCTGGTGTAAGTAGCGCCATGACTGGCCCCGTTAGCCTGACCAGGGCATGGCTGCATCAGTAAGGGCCTCTGTGGTTCCTCCTGCTGAAGCTTTGGTCTTTGCCTCCACACTCAGTCAGTCGGATAAACCTCTCTGTGTCTTCCATTTTGGCAGAGACCTTAACAGTGTGAATTGTGATGAACTTGGACCACTGCCACCAGGTTGGGAAGTCAGAAGTACGGTTTCGGGGAGAATATATTTTGTAGATCATAATAACCGAACAACCCAGTTTACAGACCCGAGGTTACACCACATCATGAAGTAAGACTTTTACAAAATCTTTGACCTCTTACATTTGTATTTTAATGTTTCCTGCTAATATTTTTCTTAATTTGCCTACTGCATTGTTTGTTAATGGAGAGGGAGCATAAAAAAATATGGTATGTGTTTGGTGGACACTTGCATGTTGTAAACTCAAGTGAGCCGAGCAGTGCTGAAGCCATAGTGTTGCTGCTGCCCTTTGCTTGCTTGTGGCCTAAACGAAATTCACTGAGGTGGCAGATCAGTGGCTTCATTCACAAAGCTTCTGCCCGCCGTGCTCTGATGAACCTCGTGGCCCTCACACTGAGCAGCAGGGAACAAGACAAGTGCCACTTTGTTCCTCTACCAGTCCTGCTCCTTTTATATTACTGGAATTTTGCTTTTAATGAGTGGGCTTAGGAATCTGTTGGTTATGAAGATAGGGAGTGGTTACCACTAGGTCTCGCTTGGGCTGTTGGCCCCTGTGCATGTCACACCCCCCGACTCTAATCTGCCTTCTGCTGGTATGTTGGTCAGTCTCATGGAAGCACACTAGATGCGTGATAAGTGGTAGGCAGTTTGTTTTTATTTATAGCAGTGATAGTGAATGAGGAAATGTGTAACGAACTCTCTCGCAGCCCCATGGTGTGAGGGGCACTGTATGCAGCTCCCCAGGCCACTGCTTTTAGAGTGACTGCCATTTTTGTTCTTCTCAAGTCACCAGTGCCAACTAAAGGAACCCAGCCAGCCACTGCCGTTGCCCAGTGAGGGCTCTGTGGAAGACGAGGAGCTCCCCGCCCAGAGATACGAGAGAGACTTAGTCCAGAAACTGAAGGTCCTCAGGCACGAGCTTTCCCTTCAGCAACCCCAGGCTGGCCATTGCCGCATCGAAGTGTCCAGAGAAGAAATATTTGAGGTATGATCCAGCACAGCTCGCGATCAGGCATAGGCAGTTCCTCCCCATTAACAGTGAGTTCTTTCCTTCTGGTGTCTCAGGTACTCATTTTATTAGTCAGTGAATTGCAGGGTTTATCAGGACCAGAGGTGCAAACTATATTTCCTCCTGTGGCAAAAGTTTAAAAACTAGATAGCTTCTGAGGTGAAAACCAAGTGCTCTGTAGAGAAAGGAGTACTGAATAATAGTGACATCCCTCAGCTGCATTATGCAGATATATACCCTGCAGGCTGCACAGTTTCCCCAGAACCAGTCACTCCTCGTCCTGTGGCTTTGCACTGAATTTCATCTCCTCAGAAAAGCGTTGCCACCGCGTTGCCTCCTCAGAGAAGCCTGGCCCTGTTGTCACTTCTGAAAATAGGAAGGTTGGATGGGGAGGGTTCAGCCCTCCTGCTGGATCAGGGTCCCTAAACAGGCAGGGAGGCCGTGGAGGGTGGAACCAGGCTGTGGGGTGTCCAGCGCCTTCTCCACAGCCAAGGCCATGAGGAAGTGCCAGGCCCATGCTGGGTGCTCATGTGCAGCCTGGGGTGGATGAGCACAGGTCAGCTGAGCTGTCCAGTTTTGCCCCTGACCAGGCCTAAATGGTTGCCAGGGACAGGAAAGACTGAACTATTGATGTTTTCCTGCCAGATCATTTCCAGTCAATGTCCTCTTTCCCCTCTTGGGATGATAGGACTTCAATTACATTAGACTTAAAAAGTGGGAAAAGATTCGTAAGTGCCTTATCCCTGGAAAGATCTACAAACATTGAGCCATTTCCATTCAAAAGACTGAATCTGAGGGAGCATGAGGCTGGCCACATGTTCTCTGTTGTGAGCAAAGTACTTCATGCTTTAAACCCTGTTTTGCTTTTTGACTCAGGTGACTTTTCACTTTAGATGTAAAAACAGGCTCAGAAATCTTTTACTATTAAGATTTGCTAGTGATGTCTTCATTCCGGTTAACATATATAAATTGTTCATAGTCTGGACACATTGAAATAAATTTGGGTAGAGAAGCCAGCTCTAGTGAGGACATTTGTTAAATCTTAGTAATTGTGTCAGAAATAAATACATGGTCTTCACTATGTCACGCATGTTGGTTTTGTTGCTGTTTCTGAGGGAGACACGGGGGGGAAAGAAGGTGCTGGAGGCGGCCACATGCTGGATGCCAAGTGAACACTGAGTGGGGACCGGCTAGAACTCGGGTTTGAATGAATCCTTATTTTTAGTCAGTTTCCATTATCATTAACCTTTAATCTTTTTATAACTTTAAGAATAAGGAAAATTCTTGTCTCTGAAACTGTGATTTTGATTATGTAGGAATCTTACCGCCAGATAATGAAGATGCGACCAAAAGACTTGAAAAAACGACTCATGGTGAAATTCCGTGGAGAGGAAGGCTTGGATTATGGCGGCGTGGCAAGGTGAGGTGCTGACGTACTCACTGTCTCAATGCTGGCTGTAATAAAGTGCTTTCAGAGAGAAGTTGTTGGCCCTTCTTGGCGCTTGCGTTGGAGCTGTCAGGGCTGAAGTGTTGTCTTCAGTGAGCTTTCTCAAAATCCGGGTTCCAGAGAGCATGTGCACACTAGCATCTTCCATGACCTGTCGGAATGCACATGCATTAATTTACTTCTTGTGAAGATAGATTGGCTTTTAAACTTACCCTTCAGCATGTCTGAACCTGAGACATGAAGGGCCTGCTCCTGAAGTTCATGTGGGAGGCAGCCTTAATTTTCTCATTAGAGGACTTTATGGGTGGGAGGAAAGCTTGTAAGTTGCATTTGTGTCAAAGGAATTTTGTAATATGAAATTTTGGTTAACATCATTCATGCAGATGATTTTAAAAATAGAATGTAATAATGAAAAGCTACAATTTCCTGTCCTACCTCTTTTTGCCTTTGAGAGAACTGCTTATTTAACTGTTTTTTCTAACAGGTATCTTTATATCACTAAATTGATCAAGTTCAGATATTATCTACTGATTTCATGTTTTATGGTTATAGGCACAGATAGCCTGGGTAATGGTTGTGGTGAGGATCTAATTTAATGCTCTCACTTCCCTTTAGGATATTTTTTTAATTTTAGATCTTCCCTTGTCTTTGTAACTTTATGTAATGTGTTTTCACCATTATTTTTTGGTTCGTCAGTTAGACAGTATTTCTTGACTTCTCTTTTCATAAGAAAAGGATTATCAATACGTCTGACTTTCCCTTCAGCATCCCTTCCATCACCTCTTATATTTCCTCATTTATAATACTATTATTTTGTCAAGGTTGAAGATTTCTATTCTGTATCCAAAGTGAAACAAATCTCTAGTGCTAGTTTACCTGTTATTATTATCATTATTATTTTTTTAATTAAAAAATTTTTTTATTAAGGTATGATTGATATATACTCTTATGAAGGTTTCACATGAAAAAACAATGTGGTTACTACATGTACCCATATTATCAAGTCCCCACCCATACCCCAATGCAGTCACTGTCCGTCAGTGTAGTAAGATGCCACAGATCCGCTTTGTGCCTTCTCTGTGCTCCACTGTTCTCCCCGTGATCCCCCACACCATGTGTACTAAACAGAATACCCCTCAATCCCCTTTAGTTTACCTATTATTTTTAAAAGTTGAAAATCAATACATTGCTTATATTTTTATGACAGCATAAATATTGCTCACTTTGGGGCACAGAGGTATTCTATATTTTTATCCTTTTGAACAAATTTTGTTTTTTCTACGAATGTCTTCTTTTTTTTAAAGCAGGCTTTGTCTTTACTTTATTGCGCTATTAAACTTTTTCTTTTGCTGGCCCCCTCCCATTTATGTCCCTCATGGAGACTGTCCAATGTGACTGACCATTCTCTAGGCTTTCTGCACAGTTGTGATCATGGGACTTCACCGCTTTCCTGGGTTAGAGCCATAGTTTTGTGGATCCCACAGTTTCTTCTTTTTTGGATTACTTCCTTGTGTTACTGGAGCATATCTTCAAGTAGCTTTCTAGAAGGGGGATGTGGGAAGTGAATTCTCAAGATCTTGTGTCTAAAAATGTTTTTTGATTTATTAGTGTCTAAAAATGTTTTTTTGACTGATAGTTTGACTTTCTATAGACTTTGAGGAAGAAAACAGCTTCCATGTAGAACTCTGAAAGCGTTGCTGTGCTACCTTCCCGCACCCAGTGTCACTGTACAGTGGTCTGATGACCCTGATTATATCACTTCTTTCCTGGGAGTTACTTGACCCCATCTGGGGCCACCCATCATCCATAGCTTCTAACACCTTTTTCTGTTTTTCACCCCAATCCTGTCCTTATGTCCTCTGTACCCATAATCCACTATTGTAATCACTGCCTTGTGCCTCATTCCATTTGCTGCACTTGCCTGGCAAAACCCCAGCTCTGTGTAAGCCCCCCTCAGGCTGCCAAGCTCGCCAGAGCAGCTGCATGTGCAGAGGGAAAACACATTTTCATGCCGCTGGCCTTTCTCCACGTTGGTGGCCACATCCTCAAGGTCTTGGGCCTGCTGCAGCTCTGCCATGGTTCTCATCACCCGTCCTGTGCCCTTGCCCGGACCTCCGTCCTCACCTCCCCCGTCCTCACTCCTAGCTGCCGACTTTCCTTCCTCTAACTGAGAAAACAGAAGCAGTGTGAATAGTGTTTGCTCTCCATCACCAAATACCCAGTCTGCCAGTATCTATACCTGTGTGGGGCCCTGCCTGCTGTGGCCCTGTGCCGCCATGCATGTTCCTGCCTGAGAGCAACCTCATGCCTCACAATGCCTCCCAGCCCTTTTGCTTCTGCTGGTGTTTCACATGTGTCTCATTTCATCAAAATGTCCCTTTCTCTTGGGTCAGTCTCTTCCACATACAAATGTGCTACAAGAACTCCCTTCTTAAAAGAAACAAATTCCCCCCAAAGCCTTCCCTGGATGCTATATCCACTTCCTGTCCGAGCTTCAGGGGAGTAGTAAAGGCAAATAAAACAAGTAAGAAGAAAAACAGACATGCCAGAAAAACCAAACATCTGTTGAAGGATGCGTCCCTCAATCATCAGCTGTCTCTCTCTTCTCTTCATAGCAGGGCCCTTCCAAAGAGTGCGCACATCCCCATTTCAGCTTCCACAGCCCTCGCTTCCACCCGAGCCCGTTCTCAGCAGGTCTTTCTGCCCTTTGACACCCTTTGTGTCAAGATCTCCCACACGCAGTGCTGACACCGCAGTGTCTCTGGCTGTCTGTCGGCAGTTTTTGGCTCCGCTGGCCTGTCCCTACATCCCTTGGCCTCCGGGCCACCGCACTCTGTGGCTTCCTGGCAGGCCCCCCACAGCCCCTCTGCCCAGTTTCCTCAGCCTCCTGCTGTGTCCCGAGCCTCCCAAGCATCCTGGACTCTGGGTCCGTGGCTGAATCCTGACTCTCCTCCTGCCCCTTCTCTCCCCTCAGCTCCACACTTGTTTGCCCACCTGCCTCTCATCTCTCCTTGGGTATTTTTAAGGCCTCTTGAGCTTAGTTCCCCACTCATACCTGTTCCTCCTGGTGTCGCCTCGCTGAACAGCCCACGGGGCCACTGGCTCAGATTGTGCGGGCCTCCTCACCTCCCTTCCCTTGCCACCCAGACTCAGTCCATTCATTCTTTCCTTTTATGTTTTGTTATAGTGAAATTCGGGAAGGTGTATGTTCTGGTGATTCAGCCCCTCTCGCCCTGCCCCTCCCTTCCTGGCCAGGCCGCACCCTCCCTGGGTCTGATCCCCAAAGGCGTCCGTCCCCTGAGCTTCCCCTACAGTCACCCCCCCAGAGGCCTCCCCGACCTGCTCAGCAGGCAGCCTGTCCTGCTGTGTGCCGTTTCATCCCCATGTCTACATCTCCGACAGGACAGGCAGCCTGTCGCTCTCAGCGGCATCCTCAGGGCTTGGGAGGGCACCTAACACACAGTGAGCACTCATCTCCATTAGCTGCTTAAAAGGAATTTTGCGTTTTGCTAATTTCCTCTCCTCCATTTCCCGGCTTTGGTCTTTCTGAAACACCTGTTACTCGTTTTGGGTTCCCTGGAGAGATTCTGTGTGTCTCTCACCTTTGTTGTTTTATTTCTCATCTTTGCTTTTTTCCTCACTCACTTCTGGGAGATTTTCTCAATTTATTTTCTAGTGCTTCAACATTTTTTATATTGTTTTTTATAATCACCATAATATACTCCTTCACTGAATTCTGCAACAAAATGGAAAATGAAAGAAATAATGTATAAATAACAAGTGATTGAATCATCTTAAAGAAGAACACTCCTGTAATTTGTGTGCTGTTGTAAGAACTTTATTTATTCATCAGCCACTAAGTATTGAGACCTACCATGTGCTGGGTACTGGGGAAACAACAGAGAAGTAGCACGTTCTCTGGCCCCTCTACCCCTGCAAACCCCCCGTGCGGAGGAGTTCCCAGTCTGATGAGGTACGGGTGGGAGTCAGAGATCTCTGCAGGTGTGGAACCCCATCGGGCAGAAGCTCAGGAGGAGGGCCTGCATTCCTGTGAGGAGGGGAGTGGGCCTGTCCGGAGCCGTCGGGGGATAGGAGAGCCTCACATGCTTCGAAAACAAAGCTAATCTCAGCCCTGCAGTAGGTATACCAAGCAGAATTATGTTCTGAGAGGCATTAATAGGGGGTCCCCTTTGGTTTCTGGGGAGAGTTGGGGTTTTTACCAGCAGCCAAAACAAGGGAATTAAAAAGAAAAAAGTTGCGACATGCCCTTTGGCCTGAGAACAGTCATCCCCCTGCCTTCCCATTCACTGTCTCTCCCCCTTTCTGCGTCCTGCCCCTCAGCTGTGCCATCCCATCTGGGTTAAAGGGTGCGGAGAGGCCTGCATTTCCTGGACTGAGCTCATGTGGGTACTGCCTCTCCACGGGAAAGATTCGTCCTTGCAAGATTGTCCCAAGTTTCTTGCTTGATCTCGATCTTGATTCTGGAAACCGTCTTCTGGCAGATGTAACTTTGCTTTGCCCTTGGGAGCTGATTCCATTTCCGGGCGGGAGGCTTTCCCATCCCCCTTTTTAGGTGAAGATCTTCCTACTTGGCCACTCATACATGTCCTAACAACAGTCTAAGTACTTCCATTTCCCCTTTTATGTGTTTTCCTTTATAGTCTCGTATCCCAGACTGTTCCAGTTCACCATTACTCCTTCGCATGTCTGGTGGTACCTATTCCTAGGCACACATGTGGATGGCTTCATTGGGTTCGGTAGGAGCTGTGTTCTTCTGCATTTGCAATTAGCAAGTTTTCCCAGTGGAGACATGTCTTTGTGGAGCTGCCTTGATTGATGTGATGGCCTAATGGGAAGGGCTGGGAATCCTTGCTTTACTACCTCCGGTTTGACTTTGCATTATGTCACCCTTTGGATTCTTCTTCATGCCTAAATGAAATCATACCCATCTTGGAGAGCTGTAGGGTTTAAATTACACATACATCTATGTATTTGTTTTATTATCTGGTCAACGAGACTCAGTCTACACTCATTTTCCCAGTATTTGGTTCGGAACCATTTCTGTGCTTGCTTTTGCCTATACCGTCAGCTCTTCCCTTGCCATTCCCAGAACGTACCCACTGTGCCTCTTTAGCTTGTCCGCAGCTAGGTCAGAGTGTCAGCTTGTATTTTAATCACTTCCTGTCTAGACAGTTACAGGTCCTTGGCTTTTTTGAAAATGATTCTTCTCAAATCCAAACTCCAAACTAACTTTGGGGATGAAACTGTAGGTGGGAGATTTTGCCTTTCTAGTAAAGACACTTTGTAAGATTTGGAGTCTCATCCCCTCTGGCAGTTCTTTCTGTCCTTTGAGCTCCATACTTTACTTGGTTTGGGCCCAATCATTGTCTGGGCATTCTTGCAGTTCTCTCAAATCCTTTTGTATTTCTTCTCAGTTCTACACGTGTTTGCTACCTGAAAAGGTAAAAAATTCCAGAGTAAATTTGGGGCTGCTGTCTTAATGAGATGTATCCATTTGAAAGTTCTGAGCAGAAAGAAGAAGACTTTTGTAGACCTGCCACAGGTGTTTATATAAGAGATATATATATATATATATATATATATAGAGAGAGAGAGAGAGAGAGATGGGGGGAATATATATAAGGTTATATAGTGAGCCCATTTCAACCTGAGCAGGGCAACTCAATCAAGGAGATTTTGTATAGAGTGGTTTTTTTGTGTGATTGCTTTTGATTTTGGGCTTTTTTAAAAATAATGAAATGATTGAAACATAAAGGAACTGAGCAAATAATTTATTATGAAGGGCAGAAGTTGTTCTTAAACTATCCCTGTCTCTCTAGGTGGAATGTTTTCTGCTTGTTTAAACAGTAGTCTGATACAACTGGAAGTTTAAACACTAGAAAGAGTAGAAGAAAAATGACAATGCCACAGAATGCTAATTCTCAAGCTAACTACTGTCAGCATCATGCAAACCCTCCCCATTTTTTTCTGTGCTCAGCGTGTGTATCTTTTCCTGCCATGTGTGTGCTATGTACATACATGCCTTTAACCACATCATTTGCATCATCGCCTGAGATGTTCCTCTGGGAACACTGTACTTTCCAGGTGACACACACTCTAGGCAACTACAGCTCTTCCTCAGCTTCAGAATGGGGGGGTGGAGTGATCCTCCCTGAGCACATTTTCACTTCACTCTAGTGTTAAGTCACCTTCTCCAGAGCCAGTGTTGCCTTCTAGGGCACAGTGTATCAGTCCTTGTGTTATGATCTAAGACTAGTGATTTTAGCACATACAAAATGTTTTTTGTTGTTGTTCCTAGGGAGTGGCTTTATTTATTGTGCCATGAAATGTTGAATCCATATTATGGACTCTTCCAATATTCTACAGACAATATTTACATGTTGCAAATCAATCCAGATTCTTCAATCAACCCTGTAAGTATTAATGAATAAAGAGGAAGGGAATTTTAGTTGGAGGATTTTTAAGATGGATTTTCTATTTCAGTCTCTATCTTTGGTTTATTCATTGTAGACTTACTTACCTTAATGTCTATGATAAGTAAAACATGGAAATGTAGAGTGAAGAACAGGGTTAAGATGAATGATTTCAGTCCTGTATTTTTAGTGATTGTGGGGTCACTGGTATGTTTTCAAGGAGAACAAGAGTGAAACTGAGCTGTTTACATCCTCAAAGTGCTTGTCATTTGGGGGAGGTCTGGTACGATGACTTTATTTGTTGACAGTGTCATCCTGAGACGTGGGTTAGGAAGTCCCTCCTCCTCCTGGTCAAAATTGGGGAATTTCCATTATTGGCCCTCTTGGCCACCACTGCTGACACCCTGAGCTGCTTGTTTTAGAAATACGGAAGTAGGTGCAGAGTGTTTCAGCGACCAGCCCTGAGTTGGGCAGCAGGTGAACAGAGGACCCTTCCTGTGCCACCGTGGACATGGCCCGAGGCAGAGGCAGGGGCCAGCTCTGCTCTACAAGCTTTCAGATGTGACAGAACCTTCTGCCAGCATGGAAATGAAGCTTTGACTAATTTTCTGATGATAGCTCCAACCTGAAAGTAGAAATGCAAGGTTCCCTCATTAAAAGCAGAGTGGCTCTGGTTCCAGAGGTTCTTGCACTTGTGTTGTCCCTCCTTATTTTCCTCTGTGGTCTTTCTTTGTTCCTGCCCTTGGATTTCTTCTCTCCTTTCTCATGGGTTTAGGGGAGGGACGACAAAGGAAGGAATGCCCTTTGCTCTTTATCTTTGTAGAGCAATGGGAAGGAGAAGTGGGTGGCGTCCTGGGCAAGCAGCCTCTGCACTTCGGAAGGCGGCACTGGGGTGGTTTTCTGCTGTCACCCTGTTGAAATTTTTAGTAATTTTTGAATAAAGTGTCCTGCAAATCATGTAGCAATTCTGAGAAGGTATTTGAACTAATTGCACATACAGAGTTGTTCAGAGGATCTGTACAAAAGACATGCTCTAAATTTTGGCTGCCTGAGTAGCCTTCTTTCATTTGGTCGTGAGCACAGCTGGTGATTGTTGGGTTGCCCATGGCCGGCCAGTTCTGCCATGAAGCTTGGAGAAAGCACAGGATTCCCCTCAGCTGATCTTTTTGCTCATGAATTCGTGTTCTCTGGTGCCCCCTACAGGACCATTTGTCTTATTTCCATTTTGTGGGTCGGATCATGGGCCTGGCTGTGTTCCACGGACACTACATAAATGGGGGATTCACAGTTCCCTTCTATAAGCAGCTACTGGGGAAGCCCATCCAGCTCTCTGATTTGGAATCGGTGGACCCAGAACTACATAAGAGTTTAGTGTGGATCCTGTAAGTATTGACTCCCTGTTCAGTGAACTGAAAATTCGTACACAGCCAACCACTTAGTGTGTACCATACACATTGTGGGTGTGTGTACGTGTATATATACTTGATTTATTTTCCTCATGATCTTTGGCCAGTTTTTCTTCATGGACTAGTGTTTTGTGTTGTTTTCTTCAGTTATTAATGCAGAATCACAAATATTAATCCCAGGCCTGGTGGTGGGTTGGTCGGCTTTTTTTTGACAGCCCAGGGCATCTTGAGGATAATTATCAAAAACAAAATTAGTGTCAAAGTACCTTGTATCAAAGCAGAATTAACATTTAGTCCCCTTTGTTTTAGAATTATCCTAAAACTCCCTTGAGAGCAGCAGGCAGTTATGTGGTCAACTAGGTGCTGCATTCCATCTTCCAGTTAGATGGGAGGCCCGGGCTCTGCAAGGGAGGACAGGCCAGGGAGCAGGGCAGCTGGGCCTCTAGACAGTATCCCATCTTGCTTCACACCACCCAACCTGATGTGGGTCATCTGCGAGGGGTGAGGGTCTTCATACTGTAGGGGATCTTTCACTCCCTGTTTTCAGAAATCCGGCAGATGAAGAAGCCAGTTCGGACTTTGAAATCTGCTTTGTTTGGACTGATGTGCATTTGAAAAGACTGCCTTAGAAAGGGGAACAGTTTTCTCTGCAGGTTGATTTCCCTTTGACTCAGTTTCCCTATCATGATTCCCTCCTTTCTGCTCATAAACTTCAGTTTACAAGGCAGCCAGATCACCGTGTCTCATGAGGTCACAGGCTGGGAGAGCTACCATCACCTCCCAGGACCCGGAAGCCGAGAGCCCGGGATACACCTGGGGCCAGCACTCTGGCCCCTCCCGCAGGCCCCGTGTCCGCCTGAGGCTCTCCTTGCCTCTTGGCTCTGGACCTGGCAGTCAGTAAATGCTGTCTCTCTTCCCTTCTCCTGGATTGTTCTCTCCAGGTTTGTTCGCTGCTGCCTCGTAGCAATGGTGTAACTGATACCCATCTTCTGTCCTAATTCGACAGGGAGAACGATATCACCCCTGTGCTGGACCACACTTTCTGTGTGGAGCACAACGCCTTCGGGAGGATTCTGCAGCATGAACTGAAGCCCAATGGCAGGAATGTTCCTGTCACAGAGGAGAACAAGAAAGAATATGTCCGGTAATGTCCTGGGGAACTGTGGTGGTGGCCAGGGATGACAGCCAGGTGCTTGGGACTGTCCTGGACATGGCTGGGTTCAAGTTTAGATCCCTGTGGTCCCTTTGTTGTGTGAGGCTTACCTGTGCCCACCGCACCTGAGCTCTGTGGGGGGGAGCCCTGGTGATGAGAGAACGGTAACCCCCGAAGCCCAAGTGGGGGAAGGATGTGTAAGTGACCAGCCAATTCTGGGCATGAAAGGTGGTGAGCACAGGAGGCTGGAGGCCTGGAAGCTTCCTCAAGGTCAGTCACAAGGAAGTCTCCACTGCAGTCCACTTTCCCACCCCTTGTTTGAGGCAAATAAGCAGCTGGGCAGTTATGGGGGACATACGGAAACGGGGGCAGTCGGAGTGCTCGGCCGCAGCCGGCGTGTCGTTCTCACAGGTCCCATGTCTCACTTTTAGGTATACTTAAATTATGGCAGTTGCTGTATCAGGTCAGATGATCAGATTGGGGGGTCTGTGCTGATTTGTGTATAGCCTGCTACTGGGCGAGATGCTTACCCACTGGCGGGGATTTCCTCCCGGCAAGGTGGGGTTGGTGGCCTGGGCATTAGTTTCTGCAGATGTCAGGCCTACTAATGGAGAGAGGTATTTTCGTGAACCACTTGGTATTGCTTCCAACTTGAGAATTTTTCTTTCAGATTATATGTAAATTGGAGGTTTATGAGAGGAATTGAAGCCCAGTTCTTAGCCCTTCAGAAGGGGTTTAATGAATTAATTCCTCAACACTTACTGAAGCCTTTTGACCAGAAGGAACTAGAGGTACGTGCTCAGCAGCTGAGCCAAGTTGGCATTAAAGGGCACAAATGTGACGGGTGTTTTCTTGGTTTATGACCTGGCTGCAGTGAGGCTTGCAGGGTTTCCCAGCAGCCCAGGAGCTTGTTGGGAAGAACCCAGGACTGGAGTGATGTCTGAGCCTGTTTGTGACAGGGCCGGTGTCTACTAGGCCACCATGAATGCGGGTAACTCTTGGAACGTTGGTCAGAAAGCTCTGTGGCTTTTCCTCATGTCAGGATGTCCAGCAGTGGAGACTCCTAACCCCTCCTGTGTTCACCCCAGATCCTGGAGGTGATGCATATATAACCAAGTTCTCCCATAATGACAAGCTATTGGTTTTACTCTGCTGTTACTAGGCCCAGCACAGAGTGATATTGTCTCTTTAGCCATACTTCATGCACCTGAACCTCTTCTGTCCCTGGTGCCAAGTAGCTCTGGCCTCTTAAGTTGCTCTCGGTGGGTGAGATGCCACGGGCGGGGGCGGAGCAGGGCCGGGGCAAGGCGCGGTGCGCACTCCCTCGCTGCAGCCCATCCTCAGTGCAGACCTCACAGGTCCCCGTCCAGGAGAGCTGTGCCCTGTGGTGGTCGCCCTGTGAGGTCTCACGGGTGGTTCTTTGTGCTGACCCCTCGCCGGGGTGGTGGCCGGGCAGACACAGACGCAGCTGTAGGAAGCGTCCTGTTGGTGCTGTGCATGCAGTCCTCGGGAATGAAACAGGCCCGTGGTGGCACAGACAGAAGCATTGTGCTTCAGACATACTGTTTATCTTTCTCCTTATCTAATGTGCGTCTAGTTTCTTGGGACATAGCTGCTGCTTTGCTTGGGGAACCAAGTTTTTCCCTCCTTTCATATATTGGGAGCCTGGCAGGCATGTCGTGGTCTTGGTTTATACATTTGAGAAATAACCTATCTTTAAATGCCATCACAGTTGATAATTGGTGGCCTGGATAAAATAGACGTGAGTGACTGGAAGTCCAACACCCGGCTGAAGCACTGCGTGGCCGACAGCAACGTCGTCAGGTGGTTCTGGCAGGCGGTGGAGACCTTCGACGAGGAGCGGAGGGCCAGGCTCCTGCAGTTCGTGACTGGATCCACCCGAGTCCCTCTCCAGGGCTTCAAGGCTCTGCAAGGTGACTGACGTGGAGGAAGAGCTGGAGTGTGCTGGGGTGTTCCTGCAGTGCCCGCTGGGCCTTGTATGTCCTTCCGTGACAGATGCTTGGCATTGCTCAGGTGCCACCTGGCCAGGGGCCATGGGGATCCCCTTCCCTTCATAAAAGATAAAAGCCCAGTGTTTGGTTGCCATTGTCCCCCGTCTCCCAGCGCAGGGTCTGCTGTCCTTTGCCCAAGTTGAAAGAAAATGTGAACACGTAGAATAGCCACACAGCAGCCCAGCCTCCTCTGCACCCACCTCCCTGGTGGCTGTGCAGGCTGAATGTTACCCGCTGCCCACTCGGGGCATAGTGTGGGAAGACCTGAGCAAGGAATGGTCCAGTGGAGCCTGTCGCCTCCCCTCCCCTACAGGACTGGTGGGCAGAGGGCAGGCACAGAGAGCAACAAGGCTTTTGGGAAAGAAACATGTTTTTAAAAGGCACCAGTGGTTCATTTCTGGATCTTCTGATAGTAGCTCTCTAGTTGCAGTCCTGAGATAGAGCAGAGAAGCCTGGCCTCCTGCTGCCTTGTGAGTCATTAGCTCCAGGGGTCCTCCCTGGGCCCCAGTTTCTTCATCTATATAAGTGGACTGCCTGACAGGCTCCACTATCCAGTCAGGTACCCATCCTCTCTCATCCCTTTTGGCTCTGATTAAAAAAAAATGTGATACCTAGATTTTTGATAACTCTGATGCCTGGAAGGAATAAGGTGAAGAATATTATGTATTAAAATGTAGTAAATTGAAGGTGGCTTATTAACAGAGATAGTAGATACAGTTCATGTACAGAACATTACCTGTAGATTGCCCTTACTTTAAGGACCTCTTCTGGTAAGAGAAGTTACTTGTGTTCTCTTGGGCTTTGGTCCCAGGTTTGTCTTTTCCATTGGAGCTCTGCCTGGAGGGCTTTCATGACTCCAGATCCTGCTTTTCTTGTAACGCTTCTGTCTTTTGCCAGTGGTGGGCCCACTTCCTAAACTGTTCCAAAAAGGGAAAAAAACACTGGCAGTGTAAGGATTTTTCCTCACGTAGCCACCCAGGTAGGCTGGTCCGGGTGTGGAGCGGAGTGCTCTCCGGATTCGCCCCATCCTGTGATTTTCTACAACGTCTGGTACTAGTCACTTGATGCCATTGTAGGCATAGCCTAAAACCAGGCTGCTGCTGCCCTGCCAGCCACACAACCCTCCGGCAGGGCAGCCCGCCTGGGCCTCGGGGCCTCAGGTGGGGTCGGCAGTGGGCCCAGGCCCTGCCTCTGAAGCGCGTTAACTAGAATGTTGTCTTGTAAGGTTCTACAGGCGCGGCAGGGCCCCGGCTATTCACCATTCACCTGATTGATGCCAACACAGACAACCTGCCGAAGGCCCACACCTGGTAAGGACGAGTGGCGTCCCCGTCCCCGCAGGGTGTGCTCATTCACTTGACTTCCGGGAGCTGTTTTCCTGTTTGTAGTGCTCTGCATCTCATTATGCAGGTGCCTGACGACAACCGGGCCGGGCACTGGGTGGGGTGGCGCAGGGCGATGGCAAGTCTCTCTCACTGAACCAGGTCTGTGTTGAGATGTGATTACAGTTGGCTGCCACTCCGGGCTGCAGCCTTCCCTTGGCTGGTTTCGCTCTGGGGTATGTGTGCACATCTGTGCACGTGTGGGCCTGTCAGTAGGGAAAATTGTAGTTTTTAATTTGAAGTTATTGGTCTTTGCTTTGAAATTCCTGGCCCCCTGTTTTCCCTCTCAGAACTCTGCCTACAGCAGATGCACCTTAGGTATTGGAAAGTTCCCTCCCTAAGCTTAAACAATATCTGTATTGGAGTATTTCCTTTGTGATTTAAGTCAGATCACTTACACTTTGTCTCGAGCCATTTATTGGAAAGAGCAGCTACCTCTAGTTCAGGTTTTAAATGTTGCTGAGGTGCAGCATGATGTTCTGGAAGGTTCCTGGCTGGGGACCCCAGGATGTGGGTTCAATAGCTGGCAGTGACACCACCCAGCACTGTGACTGTGGGTTGATAAGTGACCATGGTGCGGACCCAGAGCTGTGCCCCACGCACAGCTGTCACGGGAGGCAGCTCCTCCAGTGGCCCTCAGTAGTTGAGTGGTTGGCATAAAATGGATATGAAACATGTCCTCTGATGCTAAAGCTCTCAGAGAGGCTCCACACCTTTAGCCCAACTCTTTCTTGACAAAAACCATCCTTAATTGCTTAGCCCCTGGTAATTCAGTAGGCCACCCTATGTCCTCTTGGTGAGCATTTTGTATTTTTTTGCTGTTAGGAGAGAATAGCTTCTTAAAGGGTGTTTTGTTTTTTGCACTACAGTGGAAATGAATTCCCCATGGATGTATTGGTTAAGTAGTTTGGTATTTGTTTCATTTGTCAAGGATTTGACATTTTGTTAGTTCTGAGGGACAGTGTCTGTTTTGTAGGAGTATTCCAGACTGCCCCATTTTGGTCTCAGATCAAGTCACAGAACTAGAAAGACATGCAGTCAATTATTAGTGGTGATCTGACTGCCAGCCAGTCTGGATTATGGTGGTCTGCAAAGATGGTATTCCTGGAACTCAGAAATAATTTCTCCTAAAGACAACAAACAGAACAAGTCAAGAGCCTTGTCCTAATATACTAGCATTAAATAGTAATTTGGCTTTATTTTGGATTTCAAGATCTTAAGATATGTTTTGCTGGTCTTGATTGAAAATCTTAGCGTTAGAAGCCAAAGAGCAGTAGGGGGAAGCCTGGACTCGTCCCACCCCCAGAACTAGCAGATGCGTCTCCCTCCACTGGCCCTGGCCCGGCACGCACATGTCTCTGAACCAGCAGCAGTGATTCCTCTGTCCTCTTCCAGCTTCAACCGGATAGACATCCCGCCTTATGAGTCGTATGAAAAGCTCTACGAGAAGCTGCTGACGGCAGTGGAGGAGACCTGTGGGTTTGCTGTGGAGTGAGGAGCAACCGAAGGCACCAATTCTCGCTCACAACCACCAGACGGAAAGCACTGGCTCTGCGCGCCTCCTGCGAAGTTGGCTGAGGCACTGGATTCTAGACAACCTGAGGGAAAGGGCTGTCGCCCTCCTTTTTGCTGGGGAGCAAGGGGGTGGGAGAACTTCAATTGGTGGCTCCCACCCTTACTTTACTCCTTCCTGACAGTTCTCCACCCCTTCCATCACCCATCCAATAAAATGCAGCCAGGGTTTGCATTTGGCTTCGGTCACAGGGTTGCGCCCTCATGGTGACAGGCTCGTGGCCCTGTGGTCCTCAGGAATGTTGGCCCACAGCTGCAGACCGAGCCAGGCTTACCGAGGGTTGCTGACTGCTAGCTCTACAAGCTATTCTGTCTCAAATCAGTCTGGGGGCCCCTTTTCAAGTTCAGCTCGAATTCCAAATTTCACATCCTAGCAGCCTGCTCTGTGCAGCAGATTAATTTCTAACGGAAAAGTGACTAGAATATGTGCTTATTGGAATACTGCCACAGCAGGAAGCTCGGGTTAAAATATGCTTTCCCGTTTAGAAAGGTAAAGGAATCGGGCAGCTTTCACTGGAGACCCAGGGTATTACTTATTTTCAGGGTATCCTGGCTGAAAATTTTGTTTTACGTAAGGAAAAATGATCTTTCCCTTTAAAAGTCCCTTTGCCACTTTAGCCAGTTTGAGATATTTTTCCGCATAATGGAGCTTAGAAAGGAACAGACCCAAACCAGCCTCACAGCCATGCAGCTGGTCCCGGGCTGGGGCTCCCATGCCATCTGTCCATAGAGGAGTGGCGGCTGGGTCATGGGAATACTAACAAACTACTGTGCAGAACATGCTCAGAGCCGAATTAACACAACGCAACTGTTACAGCTGCTGGCTTGGTGCAGGCTAGCTTTAACGGGAGAGGGGCACGGGTGACCCAAGTCCACCCAGGTTACCTCTTGCGGGGACATAAACCTGATGGCAGGGCAGGGCTGGTCCCCCGCTCGCTGGGCCCCCTGCCTCAGGGTCAGATGGTGGCTCTAACAGTTGCTACTTGATCTACTTGCCCAGATGCCTTTGAATGGTTAGCAAGGTAAAGCAAGCCTAGAGTCTGCGTCTCTAACACTGTTCTCCAAATTTGCACAAAAGTCCAAACAATATTTCAACAAAGTGGCTTGATTTCAGATAGCTGAATTTCAGTGTAAAACAGCGGCAGCAAAAATTATCTGATGTGTTTGTTGTTGTTGTTTTGTTTTGGGGGTAAGTCAGGGTAATCCATTATAGCAAGATATCACTGTTGAAATTCTGCTGTTGAGGTTTCCAAGTTGAGCACTGGGCCCCAGCTGCAGGCTTGAGGTGTGCTTGGCAGGGGCTCTCAGGCGACTGTTCTTTTTGTCATTGATACCTGGAGACTGGTGGGATTGGAACATCCACCCGTGTGCATCTGGGTCTGCTGCCTCTGCTTGCCCTGGAAGCAGTGCTTTGACCTCTTGGGAGCTAGGCCCTGCCCTGAGTGGGAGGTTTCAAGAGCTGCAGGGGTGTGCTTCTGGGCCCCTTGTGGCGGTTCTGGGGCTGGAGGGACATTAGGTGCAGTTCCGTCCATTCAGAAAGTCCGTCCGGGTCTTTCAGAAGTTGTGCTTTGTCCCAGTTGGGTCAGCCTGTCCCGTGCGTGGTACTTCTGACAGCATTCCAGCAGCTGACTCCCCATGACTCCATCCAGTCCTCCCTCGTGATCTTCCTGTGGTAGGGTGAGGAAATGAGACATACAGAACCCCCCCCCCACCCTGTGGGTCTCCCTCTGTGTAACTCCAGAGGTGGGGGGACCCACCCGAGAACTGAAAGGACCTCAAGGCCGGGGTGGGGAGAACCGCTGGTCTTTGCTGTGGTGTTGGCCAAGATCTGCTGTATTTAGGAAGGAAACGAGGGTCTAGTAGGAATGTTGCATTAGACTCCTGCTGTTAGGTGTGAGGACAGTCCTTAGGAGCTGTGCCTGTCACCCCCTTGCTGCTCTCAGATGTCAGTGTCACCTTGGCAGGATCCAGAGGGTGGTGTCCTGGTGCCTCCACGTGTGCCAGTGACCCGTCTGAGGCCTGGGTCTGTTTTCCTTGCACTTGCACATGGGCCCCCCTGTCTCCTGTGGGAGTGTTACAGAGCTGGAAAGAGTGAAACTTTCCAGAGCTGCAGTTTACTCTTGCCCAGCAGGCCTGTCAGTGAACCCTAAATATCAAGAGCGGATTAGGCCTTTTGAACCCAAAGAACAGTGTGGCAACTAACTGGCAAAAGCTCCCAGTGCCTCTGCTTAGGGTCTGCGTGAATCCAGTTCCCACAGGCCCGTCTGTCTCCTTCTCGGTACCTCCAGGCCTCCCACCCACCTGTCCCCCTTACCTCTTTGCCCAGATGCTTCAGGGCCCAACTGCCAGGCTTGCCCTCCTGCAGTCATCAGCCGGCCCTCAGGGCTGCGGCAAACGTCAGCCCTGCCAGTGCTCTCACTCGGGAAAGCGAGGGGGCTGCTTGGGGGAGCAGTGGCTGCGGTTCTCTATGCAACTCCGACTTCTGAAGGGAGCATCTGCCTGCCGGGGGGAGCCGCGGCCCCTGGGCTTGCTCAGCCGCGTGGTCTGAGTTAGGTGAGGTGGTCCTCTGATCTGAGCTGTCAGGAGTGGCCTTCTGCAGAGAACCCCCCCCCACCCCCCCCCCCCACACACACCGCCAGGCAGGTATGTGCTGCATGGCAGCCTTCCCAATACGTAGTATGAATTTTTAAATTTTGTTTATTTTTGTTTCTCAACCACTTTATAATGTATTTTTTAATTTATTTTGTAATGTCTCATTTTTAAGTATTGCTGCTATCCTTGTTATTCTTCCCACTGTTTTATTGCTGATTTATTTTGTGAAAGTTGTACACTAATGTTCTGTTTTTTGTCAAAATCAAAAGTATTTAAAGAAATACTAGTTCTATTTAATGTGGTTATGGAACCAGCTGGAAACACAAAACAAACTGATTGTACAGCAGGCTGGACCCAGGAGGTCAAGTTCATTTTGTTACATATGCAATAAACTCACTACTTTACATTTTTGCCATATGTTATTTTAGTGTGGAAATGAGATTCCAGATTTTTTTTTTTACAGTCCCACAGAAAAGGAAGTCAGTGTCAGAAGAAATACTGGCAAGAGCCTTCTGAGGAAAGAGGCAAGCCCAAGGACAGAGCTGGAGAAGCAACCGACGAAAGCTTGGCAGTCGGACATGCTCTGCCAGGCAAAAATCTGTGGGATTGAGAAAGCTTAGTATCTCGAATTCTTCACATACTGCTTGTGGTTGTTGGTTTAGGTTTTTTCTTTTTTATATATTTTTATGGAAGTAAAATATACACACTGTTTGATCAATTTAACCATTGGTATATGTGCAATTCACTGGCACAAAATAACATTCACAGTGTTTGTGTAACTGTCAGCATTATCTGTACCCAAACCCTTTCCACCTTCCCAAACTCAAATTCTGGACCCACTGAGCCAATAACTGCTATTCCTCCTTTTCCCCTCCCCCTATTCTACTCTGTCTCTACGAATCTGCCTCTAGGTACTTCATGTAAGTGGAATCATAAACTATTTGTCCCTCTGTGTCTGACTTACTTCACTTAGCATAGAACATTTTGAAGATCATCCATGTTGGAGTATGTATCAAAACTTCATTCTTTTTTATGGCTGAATAATACTCCATGGTAGGAATACAGTACATTTTATTTGTCCATTGACCTGATGGACACTTGGTGTGCTAGTTAATTCTGTGTGTCAACTTGACCGGGCCCTGGTACCCAGCAGAGACATTATGGGCTAATGTCTGTGTCGTCTTTAATTTCTTTCTGCAGTAGTCTGTAGTTTTTTTTAAATTTTCTTTTCAGATTATTCATTGTTAGTGTTGAGGAACACAGTTGCTTTTGATGTGTTCATTTTGAATCCTTCAACATTGCTAATTTGTTCTAATATGTGTGTAATCTTTAGGGTTTTCTACATTTAAGATCATGTCTGCAAACAGTTTTATTTCTTGCTTTCCAATTTGGATGCTTTTTACTTCTCTTTCTTGCTTAACCGCTCTGGCCAGGACTTCCAGTATTGTGTTGAAAATAAGTGGTGACCGTGGGCATCCTTGTCTCTTGTTCTGATCTCCTGATCTTAGAGGAAAAGCTTTCAGTCTTTCACCATTGAGTATGGTGTTAGCTGTGGGTTTTTCATGTAAGACTTTTATTATGTTGAGATAGTTTCCTTCTGTTCCTAGTTTTTTGAGTATTTTTCATGAAAAGGTTTTGAATTTTTTCACGTGATTTTGTTGCTTCAGTTGAGAATTTTTTCCCCTTTCATTCTGTTAATATGGTACATTACATTGATTGACTTTTGCATGTTGAGTGATGGTTACATTCCAGGAATAAATCCTACTTTGTTAGGAGGTATAATCCTTTTACTCTGCTGTTGGAGTTAGTTTGCTAATAATTTGTTGGAGACATCTGCATCCATGTTCAAGAGAGCTTCTGGCCAGTGGTTTTCTTGTAGTGTCCTTGCCTGGTCTTGGTATTAGGGTAATGCTGACCTCACAGAATGAGTCAGGAAGCATTCCCCCCTCTTCAAGTTTTTGGAAGAGTTAAAGAAGGATTGATGTTAATTCTTTAAATGTTTGGTAGAATTCACCTGTGAAGCCATCTGGACCAGAAATTTTCTTTGTTGGGAGGGTTTTTGATTACTGATTTAATCTCCTTACTAGTTAAGAGTCTGTAGAGATTTTTCTGTTTCTTCATGATTCACCCTGGGTAGGTTGTATTTCTAGAAATTTGTCTATTTCATCTAGGCTGTCCATCTTGCTGGCACACAGTTATTCATAGTACTCTTGAATCCTTTTTACTTCTGTACCATTTGCAGTAGTGTCCCCTTTCCTTCCCTTAGTCATTATGTTGATTGATTTTTCTCTACTCTTTTTGTCTATTTTATCTGTTACAGATTTAAAACTTAAAAAAAGCATTTAGAGCTATAAATTTCCTTCTTAGCACTGCTTTCAGTTTTGATATGCTATATTTTCATTGTCATTTGTCTCAAGATATTTTCTAATTTCCATCTTTAAAAAATTTTTGAGACTTGTTTTATGGTCTAACATATGGAGACTGTTCTGTGTGTACTTGAGGAAACTCTGTGCTCTGCTGTTGTGGGAATAGTGTTCTGCGTATTCCAACTGGTCTGTAGTCTAATTCAAGTCCTCTCTCTCCTTCCTCGTCATCTGCCTTGTTCTAGCCTATTATTGTGGAGCATATTTTGCCTTCGGTTTTTCAGTGTTTGCTGTAGGTCTCTTTAGATTTCTCTTTGTTGAAGTTCATTGAGTTTCTTAAATTTGTATCTCCATTTCTTTCCTCAAATTTGAGAAATTTTTGTCCATTATTACTTCAGGTAAGTTCTCTGCCCCTTTCTCATTCTCCTGGGGCTCCAATAATGCATATATTTCTCTGCTTTATGGTGTCCTTTAAGTAAGCCCTGTAGGCCCTCTTCAATTCTCTTCATTCTTTCTGATGATTTCAAATGACCTGTCTTCAAGTTCACTGATTCTCTTGACTGCTGTTGAACTCCTTTATCGGATTTTCAATTCAATTACTGTTCAATTCAATTCAATTCAATACCTCTCTCTGATATTCTCATTTTGTTCAGATAATCATTTCCTTGGTTTTCTTTCATTCTTTGTCCATGTCTCCCTTCAACTCTTTGTAGTTATTTTAATGTCTTTTCTAGTAAGTCTGATGTCTGTATTTCTTCAGGGATGGTAGCTGAAGATATATTTTGTTTCTTTGAATGGGCCATGTCTTTGTTTTTTTTGGTCATTTGAAAAAAACAGCCATCTCTTTCCAGTCATTACAGAGTAGCAGGAATACCTTCACTAATCGGCAGGGGTGTGTTCTAAGACTTGTGATCGACCCAGGGTGATGGCTTAAGGTCTCAGGCCCTGCCTGGGCCTGTTATGTGTGCCACACTCTTTGTTTTTCCCTATGGGTTTTTTTTTTAAGTCTTAATTTCCCAGAGTCTCACTCCAGCTTATTCTTGGAGCTTAGATGTTCTGTTGTAGTCTACCCATAATGTCTTGCTGCAAGCATCCATAGGTCTGCTTTTCCCCTGCAGCTTTCACATGTGGTGGTGCCTGCCACTGCCTTCCATGGCTTTTACCAGCCTGAGGTTTGAACTGTTGTATCTTTGCCTGTCTGAGCTCCAAGTCAAGTGAGATACAAACCAGTCCCTCAGGCAGTTCACAGATCAGAACATAGCAAATGAGTTCTGCTCTGCTCCTGGCGCAAAGGAGGAAACCAGGAATCCGGCTGCTTCCTCCCAACCACACAGTGAAAATGCCACAAAGTTTCCTACCATTTTGAATGTGGCTTCTTTTGATTGGGCGCTCACCTGGTTGCCCTAGGTCTTTGGTTCCCAGAGGTCCTATAAAGCTAGTCAGTCTCTAGTTGTTTGTATTTGATGCCTTCTACAGGGGTAGCCAGGGCCTGGAACTTCCGAGTCTGCCGTCTTCAATCTCTGTCTCCTACTGAGTTTAATTCAGTAACATTTGAAGTAGTTATTCATAAGGAAGGACTTCCTCCTTTTGTTTTTGACATGCCTTATGGGTTTTTTGTACTTTGTTTCTTCCATTACTGCCTTCTTATGTTTGATTTTTTTTGTACTTACATGTTTTGATTCTCTTATTTCCTTTTGTGTATGTTTTATGGATACTCTTTGTGGTTATCTTAGGGGTTGCACTTAAAATCCTAAAGTTACAGCAATCTAATTTGAATGTATGCCAATGACTTCAATAACATACAAGAACTCTGTTCCCGTACAGCTCTATCTCCCTCTCCTGTTATTGATGTCACAAGTTACATCTTTGTACCTTGTGTGTTTTATGCATTTTTTGACTAGTTTTATACATTTGCATTTTAAATCCTGTAGAAAACAGAAAGTGGAATATAAACCAAAATTAAAATAATACTAGCTTTTATAATTACCCATGTTATTTACCTCTACTGGAGATCCTGATTTCTTCTTACAGCCTGAATTACTGTCTAGCATCCTTTAATTTCAAACTAAAGGACTTAAGCATTTCTTGCAAGGCAGGTCTACTGGTAATGAACTCCCTCAGCATTTGTTTATCTGGGAATGTCTTAATTTCTCCCTCATTTAGGAAGAACAATTTTGCTACAGAATTACAAAATTCTGACAAATTTTTTTCTTCTTTCATCAATTTGAATAAATGAACCCTCTGATTTCTGACCTTCAAGAAAGCTGGTAATCTTACTGAAGATCCCTTGTATGTGACAAGTCACTTCTGTCGCTGCTGCAAGACTCGTGGTGTGTCCTTGAGTTGATTCTGTCTGGAGTTTGCTGAGCTTCTTTGATGTGTAGACAGAGATTTTAGGTCATTATTTCTTCAAATATGCTTCCTGCCTCCGTCTCTCTGTTCTGGGATCACCATAAGGCATGTGCTTGTCCGCTTGCTGGTGTTCCTATGGATCTCTGTGGTTTTGCACACTTTTCATTTTTCCTGAGTAATTTCGATGGTCCTATCTTTAAGTTCATTGATTATTTCTTTTGCCTTGTGTTTTTTCTACTTCCCTATGGGATTTCTCATTTCAGCTCCAGAATTTCTTTTTGATTCCTTTTTATAATTTCTTATCTCTATGTAAATAAGAGTATTGATATTGTTTTCTTTTGTTCATGTCTTCCTTTAGCCCTTTTCAAGCAGCTTTGAGACAGAGTTGTTTTCAAGTCATTGTCTAGTCAGTCTGCTGCTTTGTTTAAATGGCCTATACTTTCTGGTTTTTTAATAGGCCTTGTGACTTTTTGTTGAAAATGACATTTGAATCTTCTAATGTAAATTGGGAAATCAGAGCCTCCTCTCCCCCCAGGGTTGTTGAAGGTGCCTCTGATCAGCTTGAGGTGAGCCCTTAAAGTCTTCACCAGTTTTCCCTGAGCCCGTCTTTCCAAATTCCCCTGTACACAGGGTTGCCTTTTTAAAAAGCAACACATTTATTATCTCACACTTTTCAAAGATCAGGACTCCT